CTGCATGTTTTTAATGTTGAAATGTTATAATGTTTGGGGATCCTATTTGGGTGGAAAGGTAGCATAGAAAATGTTTAAAATATAGGAAAATGATATAAAACATGAATATGGAGAAGTGAGTTCTGTCTTATGAAAGCTTACGTTGGAATAAGCTTGGTTGCTCTAAAAATGCCATATGATTTCTGGTTTACTTAGGGAAACAAAAATAGGGCAGCACAGTTATTTTGATCATTCCAAATAGCACCTGTTACAGTGATGCTTCTGTACAGAGGTGAAAGATCGAAACGCCGATTCCCGGACTGTAGGACGGGTCTATTTGCTTCTATTTATGCTGGGAAAGAGGGCCATGTTCTCAAGTGTCTGTCCTGCTCTATCCTGTCCTAGGAGCATCTCTTCCTGGAGCCCAGGAGCATCCCACAGGGGGAGTTCTTCAGACCTCGGAAGGAGGACGTAGAGGAACTTGAAGCAAAAGATTTCCTGGGCCAACCCAAGGTAGCATGTACAGGCCCTTCCATGGAAGAAGTAGTATTCTGATGTTTTGAGCCAGTCCTCATTGAAGTGATAACCTTGAGTCTGGGCTGTACTGTTTCAGGCTGGGACTCAATGAGTCCCCCACCCCATTCTTTGCATGTAAAAAACCAAATGTTTGGGAGAATGACCCTTGCTGACCTCTAACTCACTAGTTTTCTGTCTGCGGGGAATTAGTTATACATGTGGACCTTCCAAAAGGGGTGGGGAAGAGGAAGCCTGAGTGGGGGTAAAGGGGGCTGGCATAGGCTGAAGGTAGCTCCTGGACCAGGAGAAGACCAGAAAGAAAGCCTGTGTGTTATGGTGGTTAGATATCAGACTAGGGTCTGGGACAGGGTTGCCAATCCCCAGTTGGGGGCAGGGGATCCCCTGGTTTGGAGGCCTTCCCCCACTTCAGGGTTATCAGAAAGGGGGGGGAATGCCCCCTGGGTGCTCCATTATACCCTATGGAGACCAGTCCCCATAGGGCATAATGGAGAATTGATCCGTGGGTATCTAGGGCTCTGGGGGGGCTGTTTTTGAGGTAGAGGCACCAAATGTTCAGCATAGCATCTGGTGCCTCTCCTAAAAACCCTATCTCATTGGATTGTTGTGAGGTTAAAATGGAGGAGAGGAGAACAATGTAAGCTGTTTTGGGCCCCTACTGGGGAGAAAGGCAGGGTATAAATCAAGCAAAATAAGCACAATAAATGAAAGAGGACTAGGAACTTGGCATGGGGATTCCTCTGGAGCACTTCAGTCAAGATCCAATGTTTAACTCATAAACTCTAGTTTTGTCAATCCCCCTGTCCCCATTACAGGTCATCGCCTCTGCTTTTGAGGAAGACAGTGCCAGCAGCTTTCCAGGTCTGCAGCCCCAGGTGAGCTAGGGAATATGGGGGAGGCATGAGGGATAGCTCCAGGCTCATATCTGTGAGACAGGCCAGGGTTGCAGATGTCTAGTTCTGGGTTAGGTTCCTCTGCTTTTTGACAGTTGCATTGGGTGTGTGTGTGTGTCAGATGTTATCTTTTCCCTATCAAGAGCCTTTGGCAATTAAAAAAAAATAGGGTTGTGATAGAGATAGCTGCTGTTCTCCCACTTTCACTTTTAACAGCTGCCTGGCACAGGCAAATCTAACTGGTGAAGCTTTTCTCAGCATGCATTGCATGCATGCTGCAATCAGGGGCAGCTTTTCCCTCCAAATCCATTGACTGAAGTCTGTTGCACTGGTTGAATTTATGTGATTCAGGTGACTGTTAAAGGCACAGAGCAGGCAAAGTGCCAGCCCTCTCAAAATTACTTTTCATGAACAGAAATCCTTGCTCCTTTACTGACTGAATGTGTGTAGGGGCAAAGTGTGCCGCCTTCCAAACACACACACACACACACACTTGTGCAGTCACTTTGTTTGTAGTTCCCACTGGGACACCATTACGTCTGCCTTGTGGGCTGGAAGAAAGGTTGGGTGGAGAAACAGACTCATCTTTTCCATACCTGAGGTCATACATGAAGCCTGGTTTTCTCCACAGGACTGTTATAAACCTGGAATGGATCCTTCCCGGTGAGTGACTGGGCCACAGGCTGGGTGTTTGGCTCTGTTTATGGGTTTTCTTCAAATGAAATAAATTAATAATGTTCAATTCGTATTCTGGGTCGTATCTCAGTGGCTTTGCTTGCAAAAGGCCCCCATTCCCTCCCCAGCATCTCCAGTTAAATGTCGGAGGTGTTAGGAAAGGTATTTTTCTACCTGAGACCCTGGAAAACCACTGCCAGTCAAAGAAGGTGATACTAAGCTAAGCTAGGAGGACTGATGAGGAAGTTCCATCTTTACATGTATTTGTAGTGCAATCTCCAAAGAACAGAATAGGACCCCTCCAAATGGCCGCAGTAATAAACAACCAAAAACAAGAGCCACCTAATAAAAACAAAAGCCACATCAGGGTGTATATTTGGCCCTCTGGAAAGAGGAAGCAAAGGAATGGAAGCATCCCACTGAAAACGTCTTTCTAACATCAGGTCCATCAGAAGGCTGAGAGCAGAAGGAAAATGTGGTTGTCTTTGTATTAGCAGTAGTAGAGATTTGATTTTAGTTGGTGCCCAAGGTAAGAGTGTCAGTGGAAGCCAAACTGAGTAGCATTACCTTGTGTTGTACGGAAAACCCTTAAACACAATCTTTCCCCAGGTTCTTTTCCCTCCAGTTGAACCTTCTTTTATCAGCTGAATTCAGATATTCTCAAGGTAGAAAGGTTGTGTCCAGTTTGTTGAACAATTCTGAAGGACTTGAAAGCTTGCACATTGTATAATTTGTGTTGGTCCTAGAAAGGTATTACATGGACTTTGGTTTTTAACTTTTGCTCTGAATTGGTGTGGCTAAAGTGTGACCTCAGTCACAAAAAAACATGTCTCTGGCGACCTCTAGTGTGTATTCCGCACAAAGGTCGTTCAGCTTCCAAACTGTTGCATCTGATGTGACGACATGAGCTTCTCTAACCCCAAAAGCTTCATCTTTGATCTGGTGGTAATCAGTCTGCAGGCAGAAGATGGCAGTTTGCAATGTTTCCCTGTGTTAAAATCCCTCTGCAAATAGAACCCTCTCCTACTCTGCTAGTCTTCTATTTGCAGGGGGCTTTTTAAACAAGAGGGAACATCTAAGACTGGAAGTGACCACCTGCAACTTGGTGGACCATCTCTGAGCTCTGCCACCTCATTTCCCACCTTGTTCCACAACATGCGCAAATAAATTTCTAACACAGCTTCTCCACTGGCATTAGCTTCCAGCCATACAGAACCTAGGGCTGAATTAAGACATGCTGAAGCCCTAAATTATGTCAAAAAAACCCCCACAGCATTAGCAAAAAAACCTGGTAATTAGTCATTTTTAGTCTCTTTTTTTAAATCTGTAGAGGCCCCTCATAATCTGAGTCCCTCACATGCGGCTTGCTTAAATTTCTACATAAATCCAGCTCTAGATTGGATAGAGCGTAGTCCTATGTTCAGAACAGAGTTGTGAAATAGCTGGAGATTTAGGGGATGGCGCCCGGGGAGGCTGTGATTTGGGGAGGGGCCTCAGCAGGGTACAGTGCCATAGAATCCACCCTCCAAAGCAGCCATTTCCTCCAGGAGAACTGATTTCTATTGTCTGGAGATTAGTTGTAATAACAGGAGATCTCCACGTGCCACCTGGGGGTTGGCAAGCCTAGCTATTTGTGTCTTTTAAAATGCAGACATAGCAAGGGAGAGCTGCTTTTGCTCATGGACAGGGAGGCGATAGGGCTGTTGAGCTGAATATTCAGGCTCTAATGTTGCGTTTCCTCTTTGTGCTGTCAGGGGGACCCGTGCCTTAGGAACTGCTGAATATCAGACATTCTACAGGTGCAGCTTGCCTCATTGCTAGGTTAAGCTTCATCAGTTGAATCTGCTTCTCATGCAGAAAGCACAGGAGCCCTGCTGCAAAAAAGCTGTCTTGGCAGGTGTGTGTGTGTGTTTGCTTTTTGCATACCGTTTGCCGTAAGAAAGCATCTGAGGGTTCCTTTTCCTCTGCAGAGAGCAAGATGGTGGATATCATTACTTTGTGGCCCCTTACTACCCTGAGAGGGGCTGCCCCCTTAAAGCTGGCAGTGTTGTTTATGTCTTATCGATGGGCCCAGGCAGCCATGCAACAGGCATATTCGAGGGGCAGGTGAGTACCTGCCACTCTGGTCAGTAGTGTGAGTCAGGGAGTTCTAAATGCTGTTGCAATGATCTGAGGCAGCAGACTCCTACAGGCTCTGAGTTCACTGGGAGATCGCTATGGGAAAATGCAGTTGCCTTGGAGCAACTGGGTCAGAGCTGTGGGGACTGTGGCCCCGGTCACATGGGAGGATTTGCCCCGCAAGAGGGATGGATCGGGGGCACATCAAGCGGGCACCATCACATCGCAACATCTGGAAAGCGTCACCCACCTGTCCCCGATCCATCCCTTCAGCCCGAAAACGTGCATTTAAAAGGTACTAGCAACAGAGCACTACCATCCGGACGATGCGCAGCAACTCCAGCCGTCTGGTCAGGGAAGCGCTGGTAGCCCGTCGCAGCCAGCGCCGTCCCCCATCCCACGCATGCGGTTTGCTGCACAACGTGTGATCGGCTGCCAGAGTGGAAGAGCAAATCGGCGCCCTCAGTATCGTTATGGATGTCTAAGATATGGGAGTGTTATATTTTAGAAAAAAACTACAGACTGTTACAACTTGAACATAAAAACTATCAATCAACTTTTGTTGAAAAATGGTTTCCGGTCATAAGTTACATGGCACAGAATGGAATTGTTCCTGCTTGCTTAGTTTCATCTGAAGTGTTTATTGTATAAACCCCAGACTTAGAGTATGTTTTAATTTTGATCAGTAAACACTACCTAGTTGAACTCAAATGCTTTCATTTATATAAGATGGTTGCTAACCAAACTGCATTATTAGAAAACATGTTAAGAGTTTTAAATCGTTAAGTCTTAGATAGGTATACTGAATAGAATATCAAGAATATTATTAATGTTAAATAGTTTGTATTGTTTGGGATTCTCTGTATCAATTGTTTTATATTTATTTAATAAAAATTATTTTAAAAAGAAAAAGAAATGTCCACATCGATTATGGTTAAACTTTGGTTGCGTGTTTCTCTCTCTCTCAGAAAGTCTGCATCCCAGCCTCCCACCTGGAGCCCATGAGCTTTGCTGGACGTAGCAAAGGGGTAAGGTGGCATTACATTTTCATCTCTTCATCGAGAATCCACTTTCATCCCATGTCTGTCACCACATTCCAACTCTCTTATTCTGCATGCGGGACCAGCTGATGGGCAGCAGCATAGGCCTCAGTGGGAAGGGTCAGGGTTTATTTCTTGATGAATCTCTCACTCCTTGAAACCCATTGTACCCAGAGTTCTCACTGCTGCAGGAGCCTGTGTCTGTTTCATCCTCTTCCTCACCTGATTCCTCCAAACTTGTCTATTACCCATCCTTAATGTACCAGGTTGTGTCTAGTGGTGCTGCCTGGTCTGCCTGCGACTTGGAACTTCTTTACAGATCAGGGTTACCAACCTCCAGGTGGTGGCCGGAGATCTCCAGGAATTACAGCTGATCTCCAGGCTACAGAGATCAGTTCCCCTGGAAAGAATGGCAGCTTTGGAGGCTGGACTGTATGGCATTAGGCCATGCTGAGGTCCCTCCTCCTCCCCAAAGCCCTCCCTCCCTCCCCTGGTTCCACCCTCAAACTCTCCAGGAATTTTCCAACCAGGAGTTGGCAACCCTGCCCCAGATTCCCTACCACCACTGGCTGCCCACGACCATTAGGATTGCCAGCTGACCAGGGGAGTACTATGTCCAGCTATCAGCAAGCAAAACTACACTGAGAGAAGAAAAAAGATTTTCACCTGCCATAACCAGGCCAATTGACATGTTACAGTCCACCCAGGTTGTACATGCATTCCTTGTGAGTTGTGGGTTCCTTTCCATACCCAAAATCGGGGTTCCCAATTTAAACCAGGACCATGGGGGAAAGGGGCTTCAGCCTCCCCGCTGGGGCTGTTTCAGGTTGGGAAACCATCGGAGAAAGACTGAAGTGGTCTCCCCACATGCCCCAGTACCAGTCAACACACACGGGAGAATGAAGGGCACAAAATGGGGGACCCCAGAAACACAACTTGTATAAGGCTTCAAGGTGGGAAACAGCCAGAACTGTGGTATTAAAAGCTGCTGATAAAGACACATGGTGGCAGGAGCCAGCTGAAGCGCTGACAGCCCTGTTAGCCTTTTGCAGATGTTCCTGCACTCCTGCAGTCCTGAACTTGGCATGTTTCACTCCTTCCCTCTCTGTGTTCTTGCAGGAAATCCACCGTGGCATCCCCCTTCCCCCGGAGAAAGTGCCCTCCAGCCGGCCCCCTGAGAGGCCAAGGATGGAGCCCCCAGGTCAGCGGCACCATCAGAATTTGGGGGTGGGGCAATGTTGGAATTTAAAGTGGGGTTACGTTTGAATCCTCCCCTTCCCCACAAACCCAATTTAGTGTTGGGAACTTATCCATAGTTTACATGCAATCAATCATAGTCATATCAAATTACCTCCGAGCATGGACATAGTGTCTTTCCATGACTGTTAAATAACCATAAACTGCATAGCTGGGATTATTGAAGAAATGCCTTTTATTGCTGGCAATGTTCTTTTGCCTTTAAATCTACAAGACACGCAGAAATGTAAGAAGCAGAGCTGCCTTTTCCCTGCTCCCTCATGCTGGGCAGAGACATAGTTGTTGAAGGCTTTGTTTCACCAGAGAAATATTAGGTGCACTGGAGCTCTTCCAGGTGAACAAAAGGAGGCAGATCTTGACAGGGAGGACTGGTGGGGAGACTGAATTTCAGCTCTGTTGGGTATTACAAGTTGAAAACACTCAGTATGTCTGGGGTTAAATGTTTGTTTATGTTACTCACAGGAAGTCACATGTTTCTCATGTAACCAATGTTCTTTAGATGTGGATTGCCCGGGAATTTTCTCCCTGATCTAGGGATTTGATTGGGACTAAAGTGTCAAGGTATATTACCATTTTATGGCTTCTCTTCCCATCTTTGTTTTGGTGTTCTGGAGAAACAAGAAGAGTAGCCATACTTTCTCTCTTCTAGTTTTGTCTTTGTAGTGTAAGGATGTAGCCGATTATGCTCTTTTGTTATTTTCATCCCAGTTACCCTTCCCCATGCTAGAATTTAGTAAAAACTTTATATTTTAATCACACATGGACTCTCAGTCTGAATTATTTTACTCTGGCTCTGCTGGGCTATATTATCTCTGCTAAATACCATTTTTTCAATATCTCACCATCACCCAACAAGCTCTCTTGTGGGACCCAAAATGATTCGTGTTCTGATTTCAGAGATGGAGACAAATTGGGTAGTACAAACCAGATTGCAGGAGTGGTTGTCCACACAGCAAGCACCAGGAACTAGATACTGCACGATGGCAGTAAAATAATGCTGACGTTAGTGGGAGCTTTGAAAATACACCCCCTCCTGTCTAGATGAGGTGCAAACCTGCTTGAACGGCACTGTTTCTGGAACGACTGCAAAAAAGCAGGTTCAGGAAACCTTGGAAAGTGGGTGATCGGAGGACAGCACTGTGTGGCTGCTTCAAAAAACGTGGCTTCAGTTTGATAGCCAAGGTGGAGCAAAATGGCCAAGTGCGTGCAGCCTAGGACACAGGAGTGTACGATTCAAATCCACACTTGGTCACAATTTAAACCAGGCACTCTCAGCCTAACCCGTCACTCAAGGTTGCTGCAATAATCAAAGGAGGGATGGGGAAACCTTGTTTACTACCCTGAGGTCCTTGGAGAAAGGGCAGAATAAAAACATAACATGGAGATCAAGATAATGTAACAAAAGACATGAATTTTTCTTGGCAGGACCGACGGAGAGGAACGTGGGCATGAATGGTGCTGACTCCAAAGCAGACATGCAGGTAAAACTACAATCCCACCCTAGCAGGGATCCTGATCCCTACAACTGCAGCTTTAGCTGCAAAGAGCAATTGCCAGACAGCACAAATGTTCAGAGGGTGAAGGAGAAGTGCCCCCCTCCCGTGGTTCATCCCATCTTAGTTTGATCAAATACCAGGGTGGTTGTCTCTGGCTGGTGGAGATCATCACATTCCAGAGAAGAGTGCAAACACCTGGAAAGGACCCCAGGTAGCTTCCAAACCAGTAGCTAAAGAGGAGGGTCATTTTAAATTAATCTGTGAATTTCTGTCTTCTTTGCCTGAGGCTCCTGCTGTTTATTCCCCCCTTCCTCCAAAGCAGCTCAGGATGGCTTAGGTGCCCCTTCTTCATGAGGACATTCTGACTGCCCTGCCTCTTTTCAAAGATCTCTGAGCAGTTCAGCCAATGGCTGGCCCCAGGCACCTGTGACCCAAGGGTCGCTCAGCTAACTGTTGCCCTGAACCTTCACCATTCCCCAAACTGTATGGATTAGCCATGTGAAGGTAATAACCCTGAATTACCACTCAGGCATCTAGAACTAGGAAGGGGAAAGCTAGAAGCACAGTGCATGTACATGTGAAATCCTGTTCCTTGTCAACCCTCTGGGGTTGTTTTTTTTTTTTTAAGACAAAAGCATGTTGTTTTTAATGCTGCACTAGGTTTTGTTGCTGTTGGTTTAATTCCATAGCAACTGGGTAGTCTGTTTTTGCATCTTTAAATTGTCACTTGCCACCTTGCAAATTGCCTTTTGTAAGATAGTCTGCAAAATAATTTCTTCGGGCTGGGCAGAGCTTCCCTTCTTGTGTGCAGGTCCCACTGGCCCAGGAGGAAGTCTCCCCCACCGACAGCAGACCCATCCTGCTAACAGTCCATGGATCTTACACTGCAAGCATGCAGATGAGCAGTGCCCCCTCCCTGGCTGACTTGCGTGCCGTGCTGCTGGAAGAGTGCTGCCGGCAAGCCCAGAAGATGACACTGAGGTATGGTCTGTGATAGTCTAGATCTGGGGTGTCAAACTCATTTGTTATGAGGGCCGGATCTGACAGAAATGAGACCTTGTTGGGGCGTTTTAAACTTAAAATAAAAACATGCTTAAAACATTAGCACTCTTGCAATATTTTGTTTATCTAAAAGTGTCTGATAACTGACACCGCTTGCTCTGAATTATTGCATCAAAATGTCTGTGCTGTTGCAATCTTGAGTATGCCGTTCAGGTGTGTATCTGTAAGCTGCAAACCTACGATGACGCAGCAGCAGCAGAACTGGAAGAAGCAGCACTGATCTGCCCCAGGGGCCTGATCCGCCCCCCAGGCTGCATGTTTGACACCCCTGGTCTAGATGGCAGCAGGCAATGGACCTAGAGGAGAAGAGGCCATTGGTGGGGTGAAAGGAGAGGGAAGGGAGAAGTTCCATGCATAGTTCAGGTTGCCAGCTCTTTCTTCTGGCATAACTCCCACACCTTTAATAACTACAAGATGTGTAAAAAATCAGCAGGTTTGACTCCTCGTATCCAGAAGTTGGAGTGGGGGTGATCTTCACCTGTTTGATTTCTGCATATTGATTTTCTGCAGGCAAAGGAGCTGTGCTGGGGGGGGGGGAATCCAAGGCACAGGGGCACAGCATGGTGAAAAGGAGACAAAGGGTATGTCTACATTCAGACTTACTGGTTTCATAGCCATTCTGTCGCCCCAAGGAACTCTGGAAACTGTAGTTCTAGGAGGGAGGAATAAATAGAATCCTCACCAAACTACAATTCCCAGGATTATTTGAGCGAAGCCGTGACAGTTAAAAAAACCCCAACACATGTAAATGCCCTCTAAAGTGTGCAAAAGAGAGTTGTTGCCCCCAACAACTGGTGTTCAGAGGTGGTGGTAGAAAGTGCTGTCGAGTCATAGCCAACTTACTGCGACCTCATAAGGTTTTCAAAACAAGAGATGATCAGAGGTAGTTTGCCATGGCCTGCCTCTGCGTAGCACCCCCGGATTTCCCTGGTGGTCTCCCATCCAAAACACTGACCAGAGCCAGTGCTGCTTGGCTTCCAAGAGCTGACAAGATCAGGCTAGCCTAGGTCAGAGGTACTGTGTACTAAAACATGAGCGTGCCATTGTGTCGAGTCAGACTCTTTGCGACCCCATGAACTAGGTCAGAGGTATTGTGTACTAAAACATGAGCGTGCCATTGCAGCTAATAGCCTCTGACAGATCTATCCAGTGATGAATTTTTCTAATCCTCCTTTTCGAAACCAAGCTAGTGTCCCTCTTGGGAGGGAAGGTGGCGTGGGATAGCCCAATATCATCAGCTCTCAGAAGCTAAGCAGGGTCAGTGCCTGGAAGGGAGACCACCAAGGAAGACTCTGCAGAGGAAGGCCATGGCCAACCACCTCTGCTTCTCACTTGCCTGGAAAACCCCTTGCTGGGATTGCTGTAAGTCAGCTGTGACTTGATGGCACTTCACACACATGCGCGCGCGCATGCACGCGCGCACACACACACACACTGTACATCTCTGTATCCTGTGTCAGGGTTCCGCAAGTTAATGACCTTTTGCATGAACAAATGAAATGCAAAGGAACAAAGAATATTTACATAACACAATGTGTACAGATACAATATAGTGTATACATACGATATACAACAACATAGGGTGTACAAAAGAAGCCGGCACACAGGACATAGGACAAAGAGACGAAGACTCTGGATTCCAATCTTCGTTTCGTTGATACTTCTTCAGTTGTAGCATACAGCTTCATCTAGTGCTCAATATATAGAAGCCTTCATGTTATATATGCAGGGGAAATTATCCACAATTCACGTCAAACTAGTTTAAGCAGGGCAACCAATCATCAGTAGAAGAACATTCTTCTTTTGTACACTCTGTGTTGTTGTATGTCATATGTATACACTATATTGTATCTGTTTGTACACATTGCGTTATATAAATATTCTTTGTTCTTTTGCACTTCAGCATAGTGCCTTTGATTGCGTTATTTATACAGTGCTTTTTTGGGTTGTTCTTCTGCGTGAACCACCAGCCTAGCTGTGTCCCTGATCCCTTGCAGGTACAGACCTCTAGGCAGTGATGAGTTAATCCCAATTAGCAATGATGAGGAACTGAGGAAAGTGTGGCAAGAGGTACAAAGCAGCCACCTGACCCTCTGGTGCCAGGTATGTATTCTTTATTGCTGGAATTTCGGGCTGGAAGACTCCCACTCTGCTCTAGCATGTTCTTTTTGCTGTATACATCCAGAAGAGGGAATTAAGTGATGGGAGTCCGGGGGTGGGGAATGGACTGTCTTATGTCAGAGTAAAGGGGCAAGAATCCCTTTTTCTTTTTTTAAAAATACTCCTTTTGTTAAAACTCTCCTCAACCCAACCTGTCTCCATGCTGTGTTCATTTTCTACTTGCAAGGAGTTTTTAGAAACAAACCTACATATCCAAAAATGGGGTTCCTACACTGCATGCTGAAGCTGTGGATCCCATTCTATTCCCTCCAGTTTCAACCCTGTTGAGAAGTTACATGCATAGATCGAGACCCACTTGTGTTTTTCCAAAGGGCAAAGACAACAGCACAGACAGACGTGTTCTCTACCAGATGGTGGCACGACACTCTTACTCTGCACAGGGACTGGAGGACCTGAGTTTTAAGGAAGGCGACATACTGGAGATCCTCTCTGAAGGTAGAGCATTTCTGATTGGTGGCACAGAGCGGCACCTCCCCCTACGCCAGTAAAGTCTCCTCTGGGTAAATAGTGGGCACAGTATTTCTGTGTCCTTTAATAAATGCAGAGGAGATGTCTGCAGGTGCAGTTTCCCCCAACCTCATGCGGGAAGATGGATCTGCTATACTTTTCCATGATTATTAAAAGAATCCCCGGAGCCCTTCTGTTTGCCTTTGGCTTTGCCTCTCCTGTCCTCAAACCCATGACCTGTTCTTCTGTTTCCACAGTGAATGAGGAATGGCTAGAAGGGCGCTGCAAAGGAACCATTGGGATTTTCCCAAAATGCTTTGCTGTGCGAGAGACCACTGCTGCTGCTGCTGCTCTTCTTCCGTCCCCCTCCCCAGGCACTGTTGCCTCTCCTTCCAGAGACTGAGGGATCATTGCATTCTGTTACCGTTATCTTGAAACTACTTAAAAGGAAATAAATGAAGTTGCGTATTGTTACTACAGCTGAAGGCTGCAAAGTGGGTTCTGTCTACTCTGTCCTCTGTATTAAGAAATACATCAACACCTTGCACCAAGGTAACCTCCATCTGATTCCAGCAAAAGAGGGATTCTTTCGCTTGCAGAAGTGAGATACACGAAGTGACTTTGCTTATGCTGCAGAATTTATTCTACTACACAAGTCCTTCATGGAGTAATAGAAGCAAAGGAGACTGGTGCCTGTCCCTCTAGGCAAGCTGCAGTGTTTGATAAGAAAGAATTTTGCAAATTGAATCAGGGAGGGATCCCAAGAGTGTAGCATCTTGGGGGTATTTTCCATAGGAAGGAAAGGTGATTTGACCCAATTATTTCCCTGTGGGAAAAGGAGGGTTTAACCCTCCCCTGTAAATGGGTCTAGTGGGTCACACACGGGGAAGCAGCATCTGGCACAGGGACTCTAGACTCAAGTATTTCAACAGTGGCTGTTGACCAGGTCTGATCTAGGGGGTGCCAAGTGCCTTTACTGTTTGTTGAGAATATGGGGTTGCTTTAAAAACCATGAAAAGGCCCTGCTGGAAGAGCTAAAGGGTCTGTTTAATCTGGCATCCTTTTCCCAGTGGTGGTGAGAAGTGCTGTCAAGTTGCAGCCGGCTTATGGTGACGCCGTAGGGTTTTCAAGGCAAGAGCCCAGCAGAGGTGGTTTGCCATTGCCTGCCTCTGCGTTGCAACCCTGGACTTCCTTGGTGGTCTCCCATCCAAATACTAACCAGGGCCAACCCTGCTTAGCTTCCAAGATCTGACAAGATCAGGCCAGCCTAGACCAAATTATGGTGCATTGTCCAATAAGGGCCCATGAAATGCTTCCAGGATGCCCATAAGCAGGACCTTGAAGGCGACTGCATTCCTCTGCTCTTGTCCCTCCAGTATCTGGTATTCATAACATGGCTAACAGCAGATGCCGTTTTATCTTCCCTCAACCAAAGCCATTTTGGTCCAAGTGCAACACAAACAGATGACTTTGATATAAAAGGCCTAGCTCCCAGATTTTTAATTCTGTTGTCATGCCTTCACAAGTGTTGGTGTGCAAGTAGTGCCTTTTTGGGTGGGAAACCATTGAAATGAAATAATTGTAACCATATGTTCGCAGACACTAGAGGGGGCAGTTGTCTGAACTGCATGGTGGTATTACAAGCAACCAGATGCACGGCCGTAGTGCTCTTCTGGTGTTTAAAGTTGTTCCCATAAATTGTCTCAGTATTGTTAACAGCAGCCCTGTAAGGTAGTCCAATATCGTGCTTTTTCCATGCTACACGTGGAATGGTTAGGCAGAGAATGTGTAGCTTGCTTTAGGTTACCTGGTGAGTCTCCAGTGGAGGTAGGACTTGAAGTGGGGAATATCTGTTTCATGTCCATGATAACTCAGGAAAAGGGGGAAATAATTTGACCTCAGCAGTTTCTGCATATGCAAAAAGTAAGCACTAAAGTGGTTTGAACAACCAGCTGGCGTCCATTCTGTTAGGCCAGAGTGTTCCTTGAGAGGCTGGCTGGGGTGGCAGGCCTAACCATCGCCAAGTCAGTGTTTCCCACAGAAGGAGAGCGTCTCCACTACTTGGGCTGTGAGTCAGGGTCAAGTGAGGCACTCCCCCTGACTGAACCCCTCCCAAATCCTGAAGTGCTGGGTGCATAGTGTCTGAAGGCTGTTAAAGTCACTTTAGAAAATAGACGAGCAGAAAGACGAGGCACAGCGCCAGCATCAGAGCAATGAAGAAAATGCTTGCTATCCAAACGTCCTCCTCGTGTCCTCTCAGCCAGCGGGGGGATTCGGTGGGGATCATGTTGGTGAGGTTTAGCATATAGCCCAGGGTCCAGCCGATGTCTGAATTGGCCGCCTGCAGGACGAAAGAACACAGGGGCAATCAAGGCGGGAAACCATGGTGCCTTCTCTTCAGCACTGGCAGTCCTAGGAAGGTGGCACGTGAGGCGGCAGTGGGGTTCCTTTCCCCAGGATAGGGTTGTCAGGTACCCGCTGGCCACCAGCAGGGTATTGGGGGGGATAGGGTTGCCAGATACAGGTTGGGAAACTCCGGGAGATTTGGGGGAGGAGCCTGGGGAGCACGGGGACCTCAGTGGGGTCCAATGCTATAGAGTCCACCCTCCAAAGCATCCATTTTCTCCAGGGGATCTGATCTCTGCAGTCCGGAGATGAACTCGTGGGCACTCAATGAAACTGCTGAGCGGTCGGGTTAGAACGGATAAAAGGAAGTACTTCTTCACCCAAAGAGTGATGAACACATGGAATTCACTGCCACAGGAAGTAGTGGCGGCTACAGGCATGGACGGCTTCAAGAGGGAATTAGATAAGCATATGGAGCAGAGGTCCATCAGTCACTATTAGCCACAAGGTATAGATAGGAACTCTCATTCTGGAGCAAGTGATGCACTGTATTCTTAGTGCTTGGGGGGGTAGGGGCAACAGTGGGAGGGCTTCTGGTGTCCTGCCCCCACTGCTGGACCTCCTGTTGGCACCTGGTATTTTTGGCCACTGTGTGACAGAGTGTTGGACTAGATGGGCCATTGGCCTGATCAAGCACTGGCTTCTCTTATGTTCTTATGTTCATAGAGCTGGAAGAGACCTCCAGGGTCATCTAGTCCATCTCCTTGCACAATGCAGGAAATTCACAAATAACCCCCCCAAAAAAACACCTCCAATGACTTCTGCTCCTTGCTCAGAAGATGACAAAAAACCTCCAGGATCCTCAGCCAAACTGGCCTGGAGAAAAATTGCTTCCTAACCCCATAGTGGCAATCAGCATTTCCCTGGGCATGTAAGAAAGGGCCACAAGAACTAAGCACTGAAGCAACCCTTCCTGCCCTCCCTCTCATGATCTGCCTAAGGTCACAGGATCAGCATTAGGGCTGCCAAGTGGGGGCGGGGGGCGGGGAAACCCCCGCTTTGGAGGCCCGATTTCCGCCACTGTCCAACATTGGCTTCTCTTATGTTCTTAATTCTGGGGGGTTCCCAGGCCCCACGTGGAGGCTGGCATCTCTACCCAGGACCTCTGGTTTGTTGGTCCTAGCAGAATGGCCCCTTGACCTCACCTTCATCTGGAAGGCAATATTGTCCCAGGTGTCACTGCTGAAGTGGTAACCTTGTACGAGGAGGGTGAGGATATAATTGGCACTAGCACAGTAGCTCTTCAGGCGAGACTCCATCTCATTGGGGTAACTTGCCTTTAACTGGGAAGAAGCAAAATGTCAGATTTTAAGAGGAGGAAAAATGGGTTTGCTAGCAATTCCCCTGCTGTATAACAAGTGCACATTTTCTTCTCCTTGAGTGAGCACTGGGGGGGAAACCATGCTACAGTTCCACTTGAAGAGGGGGAAAGTTGCATAGGGAGGGCACCTCTTGCCGAGTACCTGTGAGATTACCCCCGCACTTCCTCTCCCTCCTACCTCCAACCTTAGAACAGTTTTTACATTTTGGGTTTTTGTATGTGTAAGAGGAAGGCTTCCCTAATCCTAGTTTGACATTCTAGCTACTATACCAGACTAATTTTCACAAAGCCAAGGGTTCCAACATCCCTTCCCACCTGAAATACTCTCCCCACCAATTTGCAATTGGCACATACAACTAACAGTTTAAGAAGTTGATCTGACCTGGCTAGTCCAATCTTGTCCGATCTCAGGAGCTAAGCAGGGCAGACCCTGGTTATTATTTGGATGGGAGACCATCAAGGAATACCATGGCTGCTAGGCAGAGGCAGGCCAATGGCCAGCCACCTCTGAACATTGCTTGCCTTGGAAATCCCTGAGGAGTTAGCTGCGACTTGCCAGCAAAAAGTAGTTGGGTGGGTCCTGCTGTGATCATGGTGACGGAGGGCACAGATCTTGCATCTCCACGTTCGCAATACCTGTGCAGAAGAATTTTGATGGGTGCAGTCTGGCATGCCTTAATATGGCACAGCTTGGGAAAGCTGTATCTGCAATAACTTTTGGAGTTCTTCCTTCCACTCCGCCATTACATAGTTCAGGAGCCCTGTTCTCCTTGCATCTGGTTGCCCTAACCAGAATACTTTGCTTCAGAGCTTACAAAAGAGACCCCAAGCAAGCAAGTATAGCCTTTATCTGTGAGCCAGGGTGTGTTGCCTACCATGTACCATAGGAAAGTACCCACCTCAGTCCAATTTCTGGCACAGAATGTCTGAACAGCATCTTCTACGGCAGCCAGCGGCTGCCCCTCAGTCAAATTCAGGAAGCTGAAGGTGTAGTAATAAGCAGAGAAAGCCTGGTGGACAAAGAGCAGGGGGTCAATGGAAGCACCCGTGTGGTGTGATGGAAAGGCAGGCATTAGACAGTCTAGCAGGGAGGGTTGAGGATGTCATACCCGGGAAGATGTTTGCATTGCCCTCAAAGACAGGAGCAGACACTGCAAGCTTTTGCTGGAATAAGCAAAAACACTTTGCAACACAGCTCAAGTCTCATGCAGCCTAATTTGTAGGCTAGCAACTGAAGTTTTCCCACATAGTGCATTGCTTTCAGTAATGCCGGGGAATTAAGCTCACAGGGAGAGGCCCTCCTGACTGTACCATCAAGAAGCTTGTTTGGTGGGTGCACGAGGGAGGGCTTTTCAGTGGCAGCCCCACAGGTACAAACCGCCTCATTATGGTGTTAAGGTTCTTTGATTCCCATCTTGCCCAGGGCACCTGAATACAGGAAAGACTGTAGCAGGCTATACATTTTGCAAGTAGGATCATCACAGGTTCAGTTACTGGCATCTCTGGTTAAAGGATCTTAGGCAAGGCTGCCAATTGGACAGGAAAATAATGTCCTGCCCTTTTAATAGAGGTTTAAGGAGTGGAAATGGGCAGCTGAAGCTTTTAAATAGCATACAATGTCATGCAATAACACCACCTGGTTTACTTGAGCATTAAAATAGCTATTTAAGGGCAGCTAGAGGGACCAGTTTTAAAAACCGACAATCCTATTCAGGAAGCAAGTGTCAGGAAAGACCTGAGACCTTGCAGAGCTGCTGCCAGTCGGAATAGACAGTATCGGATGCATTCGCCGTTAGATAGCTCCCTATGCTTATATTTTGTGTAGTTAAATCACAATATTGGACACAGTCAGATCCATGAAAGAGAAATTTGCACCCTGGAAATAGAAATATGTCTTTGTGTGAACCCACGAACCACAACATGCATCCCATCCTCATCCCTGTTCCCTCGCATTTCAGGATTTAAAATATATACCATATTTTTCGCTCCATAAGACGCACCTGACCATAAGACGCACCTAGTTTTTAGAGGAAGAAAACAGGATCGCATGGAAGAACGCTGGTGTGTTTCCCATCGGAAAGTATGGCAATTGTGCACTAGTGGCAGAGTTTGGTCCAGGAACAAACCACTCAAGCAAGCCCCGCGGCTTTGACAATCTGCCGAACTGCCATGCCCTGGCTGACTCTCCCCAATCCGCACCCCAGAATGGAAGCAGCATCCAGCGGCAGGCACGGACACCACACATAACGGAAAGTAAACGGCTGCACCAGTATTCAAGCGCCTTCTCTTCCCTCCCCCCACCGAAACTCCGCCCACTAGCCTCTTGACTCGTGGAGCCTGGCCGCCTCTCACGAAGAGCCTGTGGGCGTGGGGGAAAAGGCTGTGATGAAGGGGTGCAAAGTTCACCCTATCGGTGAGGGGGCAGGGCTCATAGGGGTGCGCGGGAATGGGGGGGTTGTGCATGTGAAAAGAAGCCGTCGCACTCACGCGCGCTGTGGCGCCTCGACGGTTATTAGCCCGCCTCCCTCCCCCCTCCCCCTTCACATTCTCTGTAGTATTCGCTCCATAAGACGCACACACTCCCCCCCCCCACTTTTTTGTGGGGGAAAGTGCGTCTTATGGAGTGAAAAATACGGTATAAACAGAGAGAGAGAGAGAGAGAGAGAGAGAGAGAGAGAGATGATAGATAGATAGGTAGATGATAGATAGATAGATAGATAGATAGATAGATAGATAGATAGATAGATATCCTAAGAAGGAAACCAGCTAAAGAAGCAGTGGTGCCTTTGGATAACAAAGGAATAAGGGATTGCTAAAGGAAGACTGAGAGATAGCAGAGAAGGACAATGAATTTTGTGCTTCTGTGTTCACTGTGGAAAGTATGGGGCATGTACCCCTGTCTCAGCCCCTATTTTCAGCAAGTGAGTGAAGAACTGAGCCAAATTGTGGTGACCAGAGATGAAGTTCTAGACAGGGAAATTAAAAACTGTTAAGTCTCCAGGTCCTGATGGCATACCCACGAGAGTTCTTAGGGAACTCAAATGTGAAATAATTGATTAACCTGTATATGTAACCTATTGCTAATTTCCAGAGGAGACGGGCCAGTCAGCCTAATGTATGTCCCAGACTAATTAGTTGAAACTGTAATCAAAGATAGAATTATTAGGCACATAAACAAACAAAACCTGCTGAGGGAAAATTGGCATGGCTTCTGCACAGGGAAGTCCTGCCTCACCAACCTTTTGGAGTTCTTTGAGAAAGTAAACAAGCATGTAGACAATAGTGACCTGGTAGACATTACATACTTGGACTTTAAGGCTTTTTACGAGGTACCTCACCAAAGACTCCTGAGTAAACTTAGCAGTCATTGGATAAAAGGATGAGTTCTCTTATGGAGTAAAAATTGGTTAAATGACAGGAAGCAAAGAATAGGAATCAGTGGAGAGTTCTTACAATGGAAGGAAGGAAGTGGGGGGGGGGTCCAAAAAGGAGTGGTATTGGAGCTGGTAGTATTTAGTTTATTCATAAATGATGTGGAACTAGAGGTGAGTAGTGTAATGGCCGAGTTTGCAGATGACACAAAATTATTCAGGATGGTGAAAACCAAGGCTGACTGTGAAGAATTCCAAAAGGATCTCCACAAACTGGGTGAGCGGGCGACAATGTGGCAAAGGAAGTTCAGTGTTGGTAAGTGTAAGGTGATGCACACTAGGACAAAAAATCCCAATTTCAGGTACAGGGTAATGGGGTCTGAGCTTGCTGAGACTGAGAGGGGAAAAAGATCTTGGGGGCACAGTGGACAGCTCAATGAAAGTGTCAACCTAGTGTGGTGCAGCAGTGTAAAAGGGAAACTCTGTGTTGGAGATTTTTAGGAAACAAAACGGCTGATATTATAATGCCTCTGTATACATCAATGGTGCAGTCCCATTTGGGATACTGTGTACAGTTCTGGTCACCGTATCTCAAAAAAGACATCAGAGAGCTGGAAAAAGTACAGAGGAGGGTGACCAAGATCATTAGGGGCAGGGCTATTTTGGGGCAGGAACGCACAGGAACGGAGTTCCGGCTGGCTCCCAAGTTGGCCACACCCAGCATGAACTCATTAGCATAATAGGCCACACCCAACAGCAGAGACTCATTAGGATTGGCTACATTAGGGGTGTGTGGCCTAACATGCAAAGGAGTTCCTGCTACAAAAAAGCCCTGGGTTTTGACAACAAACAAGGTAAACAGAATAACAAGCAAAAGGTGGGTGTGGCTTGATAACCACACTTCTGGTAACATGGGGATGTGGCCTAATATGCTAATGAGCTGTGTTGTCAGGGTGTGGCCTAATATGCTAATGAGTTTCTGCTGTTGGGTGTGGCCTATTATGCTAATGAGTTCCTGCTGGGCCTCTTCTACAAAAAGAGCCCTGATTAGGGGTATGGGGAAAGGCTGAAGAGGTTGGGACTTTTCAGTTTGGAAATAGAGACGACTAAGGGAAGACATGATAGAGGTTTATAAAATTATGCATGGGGTGGAGAGAGTTGATGAGTAATTTTTTCTCTCCCTTTTCCAAAATACTAGAACTTGAAAGTATCCAATGAAGCTGATGAAAAGTAGGTTCTTTACACAGTGAGTGATTAAATGTGGAATTTGCTGCCAAAGGAGATAGTGGTGGCCTCAGGAATAAACAGCTATAAAGGAGAGTTAGATAGATTCATGGAGGATAGGTCTATCAGTGGCTACTAGCCATGGTGACTAAGGGGAACCTCCACATTCAGAGGCACTAAACCTCTGAATCCCAGAGCCAGGAGGTAACATCAAAGGAAGGATGGCCCTCCAGAGGAACTGGTTGGCCACTGTGTGAGACAGGATGCTGGACTAGATGGGCCACTGGTCTGATCCAGCAGGGCTCTTCTTATGTTCTTATGATCAACTACTGCCATGTCGTACCAGGAACTTTCCATGGACTTTTGGCTGGTAGATCCCATCGAATCCACAGGATGTGTTGTGATTGCATGAGAAATTAAAGATCGCCTTGAAGGTTTCCCGGCATCTGTTGGCATCACCCAGACCTTTTAGAATCACATTCCCAGAGGCTGCAGGTTCCTGCGGTTTGGCACATGGGCTGCTGTAGAAGGATGTCCTCGTGATGTTCTCAGAGTAACCCAGGGGATAGCAGGGGTGATCAAACTGATCCGAGGTGCTTGAATTCTGGAGACGACAGCCAGAGTGAAATGTTAACACCATCAGTAGGCCATAACGTAATAGCTACTACACAATGAAGGAAAAGAGGGCCATAGAAAACTGGCTGAAATTAATGTTGATAACTTTGAATGGTTCGTGGCTACTAGTGACTAAACAGCTAGCATGGTATAGTGGTTAGAATGCTGGACTAAGATCTTGGATACCTGGATGCAAATCTCTAATCTCCCAAGGAAGCTTGCTGGGCGACCTTGGGCCAGTCACTCTCAGCCTCACTTACCTCTCAGGGCTATTATTGTGAGGATAAGATGGAGGAGGGGGAAACTATGTAAGCTGCCTTGGGATGGAACAAAGCAGGGTACAAATATCTAAATAACGAATATACACTGCCTTCTTGAACAAGTAGCTAGTAGAGAAAATAGGGAGGGTTTTTTAGTTGGTTTGTTGAGGGAAAAGGAGCTAGGGATGAGGGGGAAACTGCCCTCCATTCACACTGACCAATTTCCCACAACCGCTGCTCTGTGCTCACTCCTCTCTTTGCCCCGATGGCACGTGTCAATTTCCCACTCAAAGCCGCGTGGCTGCATTTTGACCCGAGGCTTCGCCCGATTCCCCCCGCGGTTCATGATCCTGTTTTTTAAGGATTACGAAACTGCGGAGGAAATCGGGCATAGCCACTGGTCAAAATGTGGCCATGCGGCTTCGAGTGGGAAATTGACACGTATCATCGGGGCAAAGAGAGGAGCGAGCGCAGAGCAGCGGCTGTGGGAAATCGGTCACTGTGTTCTTTGGGCGAGCTGACACAGCTTCAAAATCCAGCGCATGAAGTCTGAGTTTCCAGTCTCTCTTCCTTCATGTTCCTCATGTACATACATTAAAAGAGTTGTTTAAAGTGCCCTGAGTCTCCGAAGACATCTTTTCCCCCAACAAAGCAGCCCTGAAACTTCCAGTTACCTCAGGAGGAGCTGTGGTTCACTGTCAGAGCAGCTGCTTTCATGCAGAAGGTCCCTGGTTCAGTCCACAACTTCTCGAGTTCAGAGATCTCAGGTAACAGATTGGGAAAGGCTTTTTTGTGACTGAGGGTGCAGCCTGTATGTTACCTTATCCTCAAGTTCTCTCACATTATCTTCAGATCTGCCCTGGAGAATTTCGATCAGACGTGCCTTGTGAATACTGTTCTCAGAACTCAGTTCCCACGTATGTGGGCGGCCAATTCAGATCAGAACCATGGCACGTGAAAAGGGTGTTCTCCTCCCTCCACAACACTTTCCCCACTTGCAATGTTCCTGGGAGCCTCTATTTGTCCCATTGGGGAAATCTGCGTGAACTGAAGGCAACAGGTAAATGTCCCCAAACAAGGCAAACAGTGTCTTGTTAAGGGCCATTTAAAGTCATGACAACAGATTGGGGGGAGAAGTTTAGGTCCCCCCGTCCTCACACCCCACGGTATTGACCTGATTTGGGTCCCCACATGCCTGGGAACTGAGTTCTGAGCATGAAACTTGCAAAGCACATCTGATTGAAAGTACCCTTATGGCAGACCCAATGACAAAGCAAGGATAATGTAATGTGCAGTTAGGCCCTGGACAGCTGTGGTCAGTCAGAGAAGAAAGCGTGAGGGATCGATGGCCTGACTCATCCTAGATCAGGGGTTCCCAGCGTGGTGCCTGTGGAAGCCAAGGATCCCTCCAACACCTTTCCTGTCACCGACCAAGTGTTTTTAGAAAGGGGGTGGGGCCAGGTGGGGCTTTTGCCCAGCAGGGCTTCTGATTGGCCACTGGCGCTCAGATTGGCTGTGCAGATTAAAAGGCATCCTGTCAAACAGACCTTTTGCCTGAAATGCTGAAGAGTTACTGTTACGTATTTGCTTATGTGTTATGCTATGTAACCTACACCGGAGCTTCAGGCAGCTCCATTGACTCTCAGGTATTCTAAACCCTGCAGTCGGATTGGTCGCTGTTGCGTAACAGACCAATCCGGAAAGACTCTGAACTTTGGCGGGAACGAATCCCATTGCTTCTAAGCTCTCAATTGTAATTGGTCATTACTGTGCTAGGGGGTGTGGTTTTCCCTGGTTCAAAATGTATAAAATTGCCTCATTCATTCTTGAGTGTTGTTGCTGTGTTGCTGTGTTCTGAGCTGAATAAATCAATCACTGTTTGAGAAATGCTGCCTCAATCTCAGTATATAACAGTTACTATTAGATCTATGCATAATCTTGCTCCCTGACATTTTGTGGCTGGCTCTGTCTCCTGTGGCAGCCATTTTGTGATTGTGCCCACCACACTGTGTGTGAATTGCAAAGGTGCCCAGAGGCTCCCAAAGGTCAGGGACTCCTGTCCTAGATAGTTCAATGGTAAAAGGCATTAACTAAGTTCATAAGGTTCAAACGTTACTGTTGGAAACAGACTATTATGGCAGAGGACATGGTTTGTTTCCAAAAGGTCCCAAGCTCAGTCCCCAGCATCTCTAGTACAAGGACCTCATCTAATGTGATGGGAAAGACTGTTTTTTGCCTGGGACACTTGAAAGTCTCTGCCGGTTGGAGTAAGTTTTAAAATTCTTTGTTTGCCCAAGGAACATCCCCTTCCTTTTCAGTCTGAACCACTGTCCCCACCGTCTGCACCATGGTATATGTTTGGGCAGCTTATGAATGTTAATGGATGACTTACGACAATAGACCGGAGGGCGTGCAGGAGTGCCTGATTCTGCCCGTAGCACAGGTAGCTGTGGGTATAGATAGTGTAATTAAACCCATAAAGTCGGAACTGCGCTGCTTCATCTTTCTCCACGATTGGGTCTGCTGGGACAAAACTTATTTGGGTCGATGCCCCTCCGAGATCCAGTGCCCCCCACGTATTGCCTGAGGAGGGATGAATCCAGTCCCGATGTTCAAGGGAATACTGAGGAGACACAAGAGGGCAGTGCAAATGGAATCAAAACGTTTGAATGGTGGAGGGATACAATTTTGATACCTGACATTTTTTCTTGTCCTAGGAGGGAACTTTGTGGGGGGAAATTCTCCCCAGATCTTATTTACATTTCTTAAAACACTGCCATTGACAATGAAAGGCAAGCTTTTAAAGACCCTGTCAGATCAATGCAAACCAATAAGCAGCTGTTTGGTAACCGCCATCTCACAGAGATAGGAATGTCTGAAACAGAACTGCCTCAGAGCCACAATGGGCTCCCTGGAAGGTGGGTGGGATCAGAGGCTCTATAAATAAGCCAGGGCAGCTGTGGCAGCAGCAAAAATGGGAGGTGACTGGGTTACTTTTTTCCAAGCCCCTCCCAGTGAAACATTACGTGGCTCTCCAACTTTTGGAGCACAGAATTTTGTGTAAATTCCCATATGAAACTTCAACCCTTTTTACAGTTTGGAAATGCCAGCCACACCTTGGTGAAGGAGTCTAGCAGATAGTTGATGGTGATCCAGCCATAAGCACCCTCCTCCTTCCCGGTAAGGATTCTAGCCCCCTGGAAGTTTACGGGATATTCCCGGATAGTCTTGCCAACTTCTTCCAGGATCCGTGCTGCTGTAGTCTTGTTCTCTAGGCTGCAAGATCCAAAAGAAAATATTGTAAAAATGTGAGGATAATTTGAGATATGGGATTAAGCATAGCCAGTTCTTTATTAAAAAAGAAAACAGATTCATATTTGGCCTGACTTAGACGTTCCTGACATATAAAAAATTTAATTGCAATGCTATTATTGGTAGCTAAAAAAGTAATTGCCTCTCATTGGAAGGCCTCCCGGCTACCTGGGGTAAAGGAGTGGTATATGTGTCTGTGGGACTATATAATTTTGATAAAACAGCGGATGTTAAGAGGGCAAATGAGTATCCTATGTTTAAGTCAAACTTCCTAAATAAGTGGTACGTGGTATTGGAGAAAGTTTTAAAGACTGTAGATTCCCTGTATTCCTTTAGCAATCATTGTTATTTTAAATTTATTTCGTTAACGTAACGATTAAATTTTGTATATGGTAGTATTAAAGTCTGCCTTGCAGTACAGGTTTTTTAACTCTGTGGCTGTTGATGTTTTGTTGATTTTCTGTTACTGGTTTCTGCTCCAAGGCAATCTGAATTCTGGATCAGGGAAATGTGAAGATAACTGTCAGCTATGCACATTACATTGGTTTTATCTATTGGATTGTTTTGTATAATTTAGTCCCAGCTCTTGGACCTGGGGAATCTTCCTCAGCCAGCTTCTTTGTTCTGTGCAAGGAATCCCACACACTCAATCCTATTTCAGATGTCTTAACAACTATGAAATGTTGTTTTTGTTTGTTTGCTTTCATTTTCATTATTTACAGCCTGCCTTTCTCACTGGGACACAAGTCAGGTGACTCAGAGTAAGTCAACACAATCAACAGGTTGGGAGGGACACCTAGTAAACAGTGCAATAGGATTCGGATTGTAGAAATCTGGAACCAACCAAACGTCTGAAAACAGGACTGAAGCAAATCACAAGTATTCATATGGTTCATTAACTGATGCAAAAAATCACGCAGTAGGATTCCATTTACAGCAACAGATAGCTGTAGATAGCAGATAGCAACTAGAAAAGAATAAGAGTCCAGTAGCACCTTAAAGGCTAACTAAATTTGTGGTAGGGTATGAGCTTTCAGATACAGCTGTATCTGAAGAAGTGAGCAGTGACTCACGAAAGCTCATACCCTACCACAAATTTCGTTAAAGGTGCTGCTGGACTCTTACTCTTTTGTACTGCTACAGACAGACTAACACGGCTACCCACCTTGATCTATAGATAGTACAATTGTACACAGTAGTATAGAACAAAGTCCCTAATCGTTTACCCCAGTATCTTTTTGAATCATTTGTTACAGTGCTGAGATATGACCTGAGTAGTCATGTCCTCATGAATAATTCAGTTTTGCATACTTTGTGGAAAGCCTGGGGAGTGGGAGCCTTCCTGACCTCCGCAGGCAAGCCATTTCATAAGGTGGGAGCCACAACACAGCTATGGGTAGCTATTGATTTTGCCCACTGGCAGGGTGGCACCTGCAGAAAGCTATCCTGGTGGAGAATAAACAACATTAATTTATTAGGATGCTATAATCGGCGCTTAATGTTAGATTAGGTTTATTTGCCCCAAGACCAGCTGCTCAGCTCCTGCCAGCTTTCTCCCAAAGTCTACTTAAAAGATGCTCTAGAGCATTTTTGTCTCAAGCATAAGAAGAGAAGACAGAAGAAGAGATTGGATTTATACCCCGCCCTTCACTACCCGAAGGAATCTCAGAGCAGTTTACAATCTCCTTTCCCTTCCCCTCCCCACAACAGACACTCTGTGAGGTAGGTGAGGCTGAGAGAGCTCTTTCGAGAACTGCTCCTGAGAGAACAGCTCTAAAAGAACTTGTGACTGACCCAAGGCCACACCAGCAGCTGCATGTGGAGGAGTGGGGACTCAAACCCGGTTCTCCTGGATTGGAGTCTGCACTCCTAACCACTACACAAGATTGGCTCTGGCTGTGTTGTCATTCAAACGGGACCCATCTAGTTATGGCATGCTGGTCAAGTATTGTTCAATATTCCACAAAACCAATGCTGTCAGCTGAGTAGGTGGCTTTCCCTTTTCCCTTTTAATTTTATTCTGTTGTGATTTTAACAAGAGCAGAGCTGCCTGCCTATAGGAATCAGGGGCACAGCTAGTAGCACAGCCAAGATTCTCCCACTGACCAGCACAACTGCCTTTAAAAACTGGTTTTCTTTTCTCTTAATGTTCTACCACCTTTTGCTTCAAATTCTTAAACCTGAGTTTTCTCTGCTGTGGAACTCCCACTTTGTGGAACGGCCTCACCTATAGTTCTGCCGAATGTGCAAGGGAGAAATTTTCAGGAGGGCATTTTTATGAGGGAACTAGAGCTGTAGTATAATGCAAAAGTCAAAGGAGGTGCTTTTATAAAGAGAACAGGACTGTAGCTTCTACTGTGCTGTTTATTGTATGTATTATCTTTCTTTCACTGCCTTTTTAAAATCAATTTTCTGCATTGCTTACTTATATGGTATGGCATATATTAATGCCTGTTTGTGTGTTTGTTTGCACTGTTTTGTAATTTTGTAATCCTGGTGCTCTTGCACTGTTCCTTGGCTGTTTTAGGCTGCCTGATTGCATTGTTTTCATATTTTGTAATCGCCTGGGGAGGGAAGGCGGCATGGTACATCCCAATCTCATCAGACCTTGGAAGCTGAGCAGGGTCAGCCCTGGTCAGTGCCTGGAAGGGAGACCACCAAGGAAGACGCTGCAGAGGAAGGCCATGGCCGACCACCTCTGCTTCTCACTTGCCTGGAAAGCCCCCATGCAGGGGTTGCCATAAGCCCGCTGCGACTTGACAGCACTTTACACACCCAGACAATCGCCTTGAGTCTCAGCAAGAAAAGAGGGCTATAAATGAAGCAGGTCAGTAACTATTCAAATAAAAGACTTAGATTACTTCAGCTCAGTTATATGAGCCCGGAGAGTCTGCTCCACCCGGTTTTTTGGCATTCTTCCATCCCCAACCATTTCCAGCCTATATTAAATATCTAACAGTTCCTTGCTACTTCAGAGCATTTATGCTCGCTTGTCTGAACGCTGCCCTTTCAGCAGTTCTACACAGGAGATATTGTAATTTGCCTTATCTGGATTAGGCTTTGCCAATGTGATTTGAAAAAGGTTGACTCCCTGTCCCGTATGATATTGGATCGCCCTCATTATAATTTTATTGCGAGTTATGGAATGCCCCTATTTTAACTAGATTACCTTCTACTGTATTAAAAGACAGTAGTCCTCTATCTGTGGGTGGATAGAGACCCAAGGACTAAGTTGGCTGTGGCCAAGTATCTCTCTACCATGTCTTCCTTAAAGAAACAAAGACTCCTTATTCGCTGCTCAAGACCATTGGATCAAAGGAGCTTGAAAGAAAGTAAAGGTCAGTAACTAAAATAAATTAAGACAGATTAAGGTGGGTAGCCATGTTGGTCTGAAGCAGCAGAACAAAGTTTGAGATTTAAGACCTTTAACCAGGATGGCCTGTTTCAACCTGGGGGGGGGGGGGCAGGAATCTTGCATCACACCAACCTAATGCTGCTGTAACCTACATGCCTCCAAGTATGTGAGTGTATGTAGAAAAGCTAGATTCATTATTTTATAGCACCAACTTGCTTTGCTTCCTTATAAGACTGAACTGTTTTCTAATCTCTTTTAATAAAACTTGTTGCTTCTACTGGCACATTCTACTGTGCGTGCAAAGGTAGAAGGCAAAAGTGGGTAGAAGGGAAGTGTATCATAAAAACATTTCCTTTCCAGCTAGCAATTGCATATGGAAGACTGTGAACTACCCAGCCCTTACCCAACTCAAGTGATGGCCAAACATCTGTGTGTGCATAACTTCCACCTGCAATGTACACCAGGTAACCAGAAGTGAAATATTTGGCCCTACTCCTTGCTAAACATCTGTACTATAACCCCTCCTGCCAATTCTCTCCTGCAAATGCCCACAAGCCACTTTCTCCTCTGTCGGGCTTGTGTACAAGAGGGCTAGCTGCACCAGGGAAATACAAACTCCACTGTCATCTCTGCCATAATATCATCATATTATGCTCAGGGCAGGAAACACACTCGTTTATTAGAACAAATGGGGGAAATATAGGAGCTCATTCGGGTATCCTTTCAGGAAGATAGATTACTTTTAATAAGCCATGCTGAAGTCCTAAAAACTGGTACTGCACAATATTACATGATTGGTCAAAGACAGCTTGATAGGAGGAAAGTGATTTATCCACCCAATACAGGACCTAGAATCCCTCCCACCAGGGAATGAATGGGTTACACATTCAAGCGTGCCAAGACTAGAGGGACAGGAAGGAACAGAGATAGATAAGTCTGCCCAAATGCTGAGAACACCCATTGTTTTAGCATTGCCTCAGTCTTGCATTCAGGTCCCTGAGAGAAATGCCAAGGTTTCTCAGTAACCAGTGTAATTCAGCCCGTATTCCTTTTAACTTTTATTTCCTTTTTCTTCGTAATACCTGTACAATGTTCCAAAATGTATTCCCAAGATTTTGTGCTCTTAGTCTGCAGAGGATTTTTGTTAGTTATTAAAGAACTTTTTTTCCTCCTTGTAAAAATCTCAGCCTGTGGTTTAACTGTCATCCATGCGCCTGGCCATTTATTAATACAGAGATACCAAACACCTAACTGAGCTAGAGGGATTCAGGCAGGCTGGGAGGAGTAAGAATAGTTATTCCGTATACACACTCACACACAGAATTCCAAACTTTCAGTCAGTCAGACTGCTAGAGACGTTGAGGGGTGCATGATTGTCTGACTGGTGGCAAGCTACCTAAGGGAAGAAGGAGAAGGAGAAGGAGGAGAGGAGGAGGAGGAGGAGGAAGTGGTGGAGATTGGATTTATACCCCACACTTCAGTCGGAGTCTCAGAGTGGCTTACAAACTCCTTTCCCTTCCCCTCCCCACAACAGACACCCTGTGAGGTAGGTGGGGCTGAGAGAGCTCTTTCAAGAACTGCTCCTGAGAGAACAGCTCTGACAGAACTATTGCTCCCCCAAGGTCATCCAGCAGCTGCAAGTGGAGGAGTGGGGAATCAAACCTGGTTCTCCCATATGAGAGTTTGTGCACTTAGCCACTACACCAAACTGGATAGAAAGGAGAGGGGCCAGGGTTCCCTACAATAAAGTTCAAGCATCCCCACATGGGCACTGACACCCCAGTCTCCTGGTCACTCACAGTCTGGATGCCCGGAAAGGGGAGGGCTGAGGGAATGTGGTCTTTGGGATAGGGCTTACTTCTGGTTTTAGATCTAAGTTGAGGGGAAGACAGGCTAAAAAGGGGATAGGGTTGCCAGCTCTGGGTTGGGACATTCCTGGAGACTTTGGGGGTGGAGCCGCAAGTGACAGGGAGAACTGAGAGAATAATTAGCTAGCTGGAAGAAGGGCAGGAGAAATATGGCAGTAAAACAATTCTACCCTAAGGCAGACAAGCAGTCAAAGCAAAACATTAAGGAGAGGGGTGAGGAAGGTAAGGATTTATCAGAGGAACTCAGGCATAGATGGAAACAGAGAGAGGAATGTGTCTGGAATTAACCAGGTTCTGCATGTACCTCAGTAGCCTCATACCAGCCGTGGCACCCAAATAAGTGGGCGCCTCCCGCTGCCTCTCTGCAGGAATCACTTTCATGGCTGCATCAAGACATTCCCTGAGGGAGTCACCTGCCTGGGCTGGATCTTTGGCGAAACTTGAGATCCCAGATGCTGAAAGACAAGAAGCAGGATCAGGGGTCACCCTGTGCCTGGATAATCCTGAATAGAGAGAGCAACATGCTAGGCCTAAACCGCTCACTTCAAATCCTTCCTCACGTCTCAGTTTCCTCTTGTGATCTTTGGCACCCCTTCCTCCTCAGTCCAAGCCACAACAAAGGTCTAATCACATGTCACTGTGGTTTCCCCACATCCTTCTCTGTTGGTTTTGCCATTATCTGTTGCAAATTGTAATCTCCCTGCAAGTAAGCACCTACTCGTTTTTCCCCCCTAGGTAACATGGTAAGGCGCCATGCTCCATCATTCATAAGTTCATACTGGATGTATAGTGGCCAGAGTGCCAAACTAAGACTGCAGATATGTGGGTTCAAGTCCCACCTACCTCCCCATCATGAAGCTAACTGGGTGGCTCTTTGGCCAGCTGCCCTCATTCACTGTCTACCTAACTTACCTCACAAGCGTGTTGTGAGGAGAAACTGCGAGAGGGGAGAACCCGTGACTGCCACCCACAGCTCCTGGAGGAAGGGTGAGATAAATATGTGACTGATAAATGCATCCATATGTACTTATCTACTTGTTCACATCCTAAAGCAGGGTGGGTGTGTCTGTTTTAATATATTTATTAATATATTAATCAGTTTCTTTTCCCACCATGACTTAGTATGGCAACATGGCAAGGGGAGCTAAAACCTGCTCCCTCCGGCAAATCAATGGATTGAGGACCCTGGAATTCTATAAATATTTGAATGCGTGGCATAGAGATGGCAATTGTGTATGGGCTTATTTGTAGATATTTGGAAACCGTTTATAGAAACTTATGTGTAGATGCGCTACCACCACTGTTGTATTTTTGTCTTGTCTTTATGTATGTTTTTCCCCTTTCTTTAAAAACTTTATTTAGTTGCTGGATTTTAAGCCCCCCCCCCAAATTTGTTGGAAAGAAAGAAATTATTTTAAAAAAACTGTCCCCTCACACACCTTGCCTTGCTCAAGGCAAGTGGTCTCAAGGCAGCTTGCAGTATTGTTCTCCGCTTCTCTGAGAAAGAATGACTGGCCCAAGATCACCCCATGCACTTCCATGGCAGAGTGGGGATTTGAACCTGGTTGTCCCAAATCTTAGTCTAACACTCTGACCACTGCACCCTACTGAACTTGAACCCAAATCTTTCTGGGCTGGATGGAATCTCATCAGGCCCAAAAGGCTTTTCTGTGCCCACTCCTGCCCCTCCGATCTGACACAGTGGCTGATTCTGCATTGGCTTTTCCCTCCGTTGCTTTACTAAACCCATGCTGGAACAGAAAGTCCCCTCTGCATTGCATGCTGCTTTCACTTCCTTTGATCAACGGATTTTATGGTAGCCTCCACACTCCATGCCGCTTTCACTTTCTTTGATCATTGGATTTCATGGTACCTTCTGCATAGATTTATGGTCGTTTTACGGCCATTCAGGGGTGCCTTTGCAGTCAGTACGGCCTTGCCCCAAGGTATCTGAATGTGGTTTTGAGCTGCACTTTTTCCTCCCAGTTTGGTGTAGTAGTTAAGTGCGCAGACTCTAATCTGGGAGAACTGGGTTTGATTCCCGACTTCTCCACTTGCACCTCCTGGATGACCTTGGGCAAGCCATAGTTCTGGCACAGCTGTTCTTGAAAAAGAGCAATATCTGTCAGAGCTCTCTCAGCCCCACCTACCTCACAGGGTGTCTGTTGTGGGGAGGGGAAGGGAAAGGAGTTTGTAAGCTGCTCCTTTGGGTAGTGAAGGGTGGGAAATAAAGCCAATCTGTTCTTCTTCTTCTTCTTCTTCTTCTTCTTCTTGAGAAAATGTGGAGCGAATGCTAGATGCAGAATCACCCAGTGACTGCCGTACCTACTGCCGTACCTACAGCAGCCAGCCACCACTCTCTCTCACCACCTCTAGCATAAAGAGGGAAACTGACCATTAACGTGGCAGGAGAAGGTTTGGCTGACCATGCCCGTGTTGTTCTCTTTATCTGCTGGCCACTGGTAGACAAACAGAGAGGTGTGGGATGAGCCTGCATCAAACACCAGTCCATACTGGAAGAAGAAATTCAGAACAAAACACGTCAGACTAAACAAGTACAGACTAAAGTAAACCTGAGCTGCCAAGGATTTTAGGTCCTTTCCGCACTTGGAACTCATCCCTGGCTTTATCAGAGTCCAACTCAGGACGCAATACCTTGCATTTATCCCTGGTTATAACAGCATCCATTTATCCCAGGACAAGTGTGTTGCGAAACCGGGGTGACCTCAATATAATGTGGAAACAAAAAACACTCTGAGATAATTACAGGGGTGAACTCAAGTGTAGTGTAGAATGTAAAAATACCCCGAGATAATTGCAGGGGGGCTGAACTCGTGTGTAGTGTAGAATGTAAGTTCAGGGACAGGGTAGAACCAGGATTTAAGGTCTAGTGTGGAAAGGACCTAAAATCAGAGCCCCTTCTGAGCTCATGGGGGCTTATTGCTCAGGATGACTTTAGATGCTAGGAGTTATGGGGGAGCACACTGTAGGGTAGAAAGCCTAAGGAACTGGTGCTTTCTTACTGCTCCATACCACACCGCACACATCTCAGTCACCTGTCTTGCTCCCCCCCCCAATCTTTGAGCAAGCTATAACCTTTTTTTAAAAAAAGTACAGCATTAATGTAAACATTGGTGATTCTTTTCTCCCCCCCCTTTTTTTTAAAGAGGGGAAATTATTTTTATAAGCTACAAAGCTCCTGTGGGCAGATGGGCTTGTGACATGTGCCAGCCAATTAAAGCTGGGCAGAGCTGGTTTCAGCTGCAAACTGGAAGAACTGGTTTCCCGAGGCTCAGAACTGGACAAGGAATTGGAATGTCTGTGTATAATGCAGGCGGGGAGCAGAACCCTGCATCCCAGCATTAATCAGAAAAATTAAGAACATGTGCATTTCTCTGCATACATGGGGGTGGGACATGTTCTCTCTCTCCTCCCAAACCAAAGGGCTAGAAACTTGCTTTTCCAAATGTGCAAACATAATCTTGGAGGATTTTGTATAACTGAAAATTTTACTGGGATAACCTGCCTTCCATCTGGGAAGGAAACAGTTTGCAGACATGAGACAGGGTATGTTACTTTCCTTGGCTGACAAAAAAAAAGGGCTTTTTTTGTAGAAAAAGCCCAGCAGGAACTCATTAGCATAATTGGCCACACCCAACAGCAGAAACTCGTTAGCATATTAGGCCACACCCCTGACAGCACAGGTCATTAGCATATGAGGCCACACTCCTGTGTTACCAGAAGTGTGGTCATCCAGCCACACCCACCTTTTGCTTCTTATTCTGTTTACCTTGTTTGTGGTCAAAACCCAGGGCTTTTTTTGTAGCAGGAACTCCTTTGCATGTTAGGCCACATACCCCTAATGTAGACAATCCTAATAAGTTTCTGCTGTTGGGTGTGGCCTATTATGCTAATGAGTTCCTGCTGGGCGTGGCCAACTCGGGGGCCAGCCGGAACTCAGTTCCTGTGCGTTCCTGCCCAAAAATAGCCCTGCAAAAAACAACCACCCATTTTATTTTGGACAGCCAGCTTGAGGAAGAGACCTGTCTGACTTAAAAGCTTGCATCCTGCCACTGAAACATGCTTCGCTTATTCTATACGCCTCATCTCAGAACAGTAGGTTGCACTCACCTTATTTTGCTGGGGCGACGTGGCACTGTGTATACCCACCAAGCTGAGAATCAGGGCTATCAGGGAAACTATGCTCAAAACCAGAAGGGCTACAGGGATGAAGGAACCATTCCATTTGATACCCATTTCTAAGAGCAAAAAAGGGAGGGAAATGTAAAAATTACCTTACACAATCAAGGACTAAGGGTCCATTAAGTTCAGCTTTCTGTTTTCAACAGTGTCCAGCCAGACACCTTTGGGAACATCACAAAGAGGGTGGGATGCATCTAGCCCTCCCCTGCAGTTTGCCACCAGCGCCTGGTAGTCAGAACACTGTTTCTGAACACAGAGGATCCATTGTTAGCTCTAATACTATCCATAAAGTGTACCCATTTTTTTAAAATATTGAAGTTAATGGCTATCATTACCACATCCGGTGGTAAAGAAATACCTCTTTGTGGTTTGCCAGATCTAGAGCCTACGCCACACAGCCAACACTCTAACTAGTACACCAAGCTGGTTCGCTCTCACATGACAGCCAGCATGGTGTAGTGGTTAAAGTGCTGGACCTAGGTTCCAACCCCCACTCTACCGTGAAGTTAACTGAGCGATATGGGGGCAGTCACACTGTCAGCCCACTCTGTGTCACAGGCTTAATGCGAGGTGAAATGTACACTGACCTGAGCTTCTTTGCAGAAAGGCAGGATAAAAAAAACACACTAAAATATGACCTTCCACTCCCAATGTGCTTTTTAACCCTGCCTGAGGACAACTTGAGATTGAGAACCTCTCGGACTGATGCTCATCCAACCAATCTATGCGCCAAAACCAATTACACAAGTAACTAAAGATTGACGTGTGCCTCAGAAACCTTGTCACCCTACACCACATGGGACAGACATGGTATGGGGTTTCACCCAGTTGAGTCTACATAGAATGTGTTTAAAAAATAATACAGTTTCTCTTGGGGCGGGTTTCCTAGGCTAATCTTTCTGAGATGGCATGCTATGGATACGTCAGCAATGCAATCTTAAACAGAGAGTTACACCCTTCTAAATTAGGCTTCAAAGGGCGCATGAGCTTAGGATGGCGCTATACATCGTTTATAAAATCATTGTTTATACATCCTATAAAATCAAAACACCCATTTGCAGAACAGCATGTCCACAGCATCTCTGTATGAGTCACTGCATGGAGCATCGTGCCTCCTTCCCTGTCAACCTCTGCCACATCTCTCTACGTCAAGTTATGATTGGATTATTCAGCCACACCCAATGTAGAAATCACCTTCAGAGAAGGTTGTATCTCTGCATGAGTCAATCAAGAGTCATGATCAGAATACTCATTACGGAAACAAAAGAACGGCACCTTTCATTTTAACTCGGAATACTAAAAGTATTCCAAGCTATTCAATTTTCTGGAAATGCTGCTGTTGTCTTCCATGTCATCCCACAAGCCACTGACAGCGATTCAACCCCTGCAGAGACGGGAAGGCCTCTGGGGTTTGCAAAGGAGGGTTAACCTGTACCTTTTGGCAGCCGTGCCAGGTTTGCTCGCACGGCTCAGGAAGGAATGAGTCTGAAGCATGTTTGTACATTGCACCAAGGTAAACACAAGGTAAATCCAGCAGGCAGTGCTAATGATGTCTCAAGGAAATCATTTCACTCTCCTTTTGTGGTTTTCTTTGCATTCTGTGTTTGCTAATGACAGGGAAGTCCAGTCCAATGAGCAGAGGCAAGACATCTGTCTTCAAAGAGGCAAGGGAGGAGCTGAAGCATATGAAATTGCTTCAGAGTCTGTCCATTGGTCCGTCCATCCCACGGAGCTCTGTGTAATCTAACAAGCGCAGCTCCTTAGTCATAGAAAGAACTTTCCTTTCACCTGCTACTTCCTTTTACTGGAGATGAACTTGAGACCTTTTTCATATAAAGTACTTTGTATAAAGTGTTTTGCTGCTGAGTCACAACCCCTGCCTTAAATAAACAAATTAAACACCCATCAGTATCTGAATATGCATTATATATATAGAACCCAAACTTATTAAGTTGTCATCAGACAGTCCATATATCTTAGTGCTGTCTCCTCTGATAGGCGGCAGCAGTTCTCCGGGGGCTCTGGCAGGGATAGGTTTTTCCCTGCACTGCTAGACAAGAGGTATACATGACCTGCATCAGACTCTTGGTTCATCAGGGTCAGTATTGTCTACTCAAACTGGCAGCAGCTCTCCAGGGTCTCAGGCAGAGGTCCTTCACATCACTAGTAGATGTGATTGAACACGACCTTCTGCACAGCAAGCAAATGTATAACTGGAGATGGTGTGGAGCGAATCTGGGCTCTTCTGCATGTCAAACATGTGTTCTATCACTGTGCCAAATTCAACAACGGTATGTCATCCAACATTTCACCAATGAAAACAGAAACACCCTGCTGTATCTAAAATCTTTATTGCATAACAGAGCTGGCTATAGTAGGATAGGTGCAGCAACTCACATTCAGTCTGTTACAATGGTATGCACAAATCCCATGGGATGCCTTACAGGGTGATAAGCATGTATTGAAGCAGAAATTTCTGTGGACTTAAGTCCCACTTCATCTGATTCATGAAGTGATATCCTCACTTAACTGGTATACATACACAATCACAGACATAAAGAAAAACAAATGGTAAAACCAAAGGACAAATAAGCAGAAGACAGAGATTTCTATGGAAATATAGTTAAGAGGCTTAACAAATAGCAGAGGAAAGAAGGAAAACGAAAGGCAAAGGCGAAAAGGAAAGATTTATCCAACTGAATGCAGATTTCCAGAGAACAGCAAGGAGAGATAAGGAGGCCTTCCTGAATGAACAGTGCAAAGTAATAGAGGAAAGCAATAGAATGGGAAGGACTAGAGATCTCTTCAAGAAAATTGGAGAAATCAAGGGAGCGTTCCATGCAAAGCTGGCCATGATAAAGGACAAAAACGGTAGGGACCTAACAGAAGCAGAAGAGATTAGGAAAAGATGCCAAGAATATACAGAAGAACTATACAAGAAAGACCTCGATGTCCTTGACAACCACGACGGTATAATCACTGACCTCGAGCCAGACATCCTGGAATGTGAAGTTAAATGGGCCTTAGAAAGCATTACTAACAACAAAGCTAGTGGAGGTGATGGTATTCCAGCTGAGCTATTCAAAGTCTTAAAAGATGAGGCTGTTAAAGTGCTGCACTCAATTTGCCAGCAAATTTGGAAAACGCAACAGTGGCCACAGGATACATTCCAATCCCAAAGAAGGGCAATGCCAAGGAATGTTCAAACTATCGCACAATTGCACTCATATCACATGCTAGCAAGGTCATGCTCAAGATCCTACAAGCTAGGCTTCAACAGTACGTGGATAGAGAACTGCCAGAAGTACAAGCTGGGTTTCGAAGAGGTAGAGGAACTAGAGATCAAATTGCCAACATTCGCTGGATTATGGAGAAAGCAAGAGAGTACCAGAAAAATATCTACTTCTGCTTCATTGACTATGCTAAAGCTTTTGACTGTGTGGATCACAACAAACTATGGCAGGTCCTTAAAGAGATGGGAGTACCAGACCACCTCACATGTCTCTTGAGAAACCTGTATAAGGGCCAAGAAGCGACAGTTAGAACCGGATATGGAACAACTGATTGGTTCAGCATAGGAAAAGGAGTACGACAAGGATGTATACTGTCACCTTGCTTATTTAATATATATGCAGAGTACATCATGCGAAATGCTGGCCTGGATGAATCACAAGCGGGAATTAAGATTGCTGGGGAAAAGATCAACAACCTCAGATATGCAGACGATACCACTCTGATGGCAGAAAGTGAAGAGGACCTTAAGAGCCTCTTGCTCAGGGTAAAAGAGGAGAGCGCAAAAGTGGGCTTGAAGCTCAACATCAAAAAAACTAAGATCATGGCATCCGGCCCCATCACTCCTTGGCAAATAGAAGGGGAAGTCGTGGAAGTGGTGACAGACTTCACGTTCCTGGGATCCCAGATCACCGCAGACTGTGACAGCAGTCATGAAATTAAAAGACGCCTGCTCCTTGGGAGGAAAGCGATGGCGAACCTAAACAGCATGATAAAAAGTAGAGACATCACCCTGCCAACAAAAGTCCGCATGGTCAAAGCAATGGTATTCCCAGTAGTCATGTATGGCTGCGAGAGTTGGACTATAAGGAAGGCCGAGCGCTGAAGAATAGATTCTTTTGATCTATGGTGCTGGAGAAGACTCTTGAGAGTCCCTTGGACTGCAAGAAGATCAGATCAGTCAATCCTAAAAGAAATCAACCCTGACTGTTCCCTGGAAGGCCAGATAATGAAACTGAAGCTCAAATACTTTGGCCACCAAATGAGAAGGGAGCACTCACTGGAGAAGACCCTGATGCTGGGAAAGACTGAAGGTCAAAGAAGACGGGGACGGCAAAGGATGAGATGGTTAGACAGTGTCATAGAGGCAACGAACATGAAGTTGAGCAAACATCCTACTTAATTAAGCCCTAGTTTCCCCATTTTAAAAATCAGGCAATCCCCAATAGGGTTGCTTAGTGTCATCTTCTGTCCGTCCCATCCTCCCATCCCCCGCCACCAGCAGGGGATTGGGGGGGGGGTATGGTTGCCAGATCCAGGCTCAGAAACTCCTAGAGATTTGGGAATGGAGTCTGGAGAGGGCAGGACCTCAGTGGGGTACAATGCTACCAAGCCCACCCTCCAAAACATCCATTTTGTCCCAGGGAACTGATCTCTGTAGTCTGGAGATGAGCTGTAATTCCAGGGGATCCCCAGGTCCCACCTGGAGACTGTCATCCCTAATCCCCGATCCAATGGTAAGATCCTTGGAAATAAGGTAAGTAGACCTTTTTTTCAACAAAGGCCTTGCTTCTTCTCGCTATAATTATGCTTTTAAATTGGTAACTCACCTCTCTGGTTTCACAATGCACCGTATGCTCTTTTGCTTAATAACTTCCTGTTAACTAACAGTAGCCTTGACATCCCTGCATAGATATATTCTTGGAGAGGTGGTGGCGCCCTTAATTACAGCATTCCCTTTGCAGCCACGAAGACTGTTCATTCATTTTCTATGACCCCCGTTGTGCAGTTATGGGAACAACAAGAACGAACAATTGTTTTTGCTGCAAAGTGAAAAGCTGTAATTGATGCCCCCCCCCCCCAAGTAACTGACGAGGAATCCATTCAGAAAAGCCTGGATGTGAATAGGAAGTAGAAAGTGGTTTTAAAAAGCTGTTAAGATGGAAAAGACTTTTTCAGACATGTGGGGGGGGGATTAGAAGTCTGCATATGTGCCCAGAGGAGATTCATTCAAAGAACCAAGCTTCATCTTTAATGTATGCTTCTTCACAGGAAACACCTTATAGATCTTAAAGGTTCACAAACACACAAGGTTCTCTCCACAGGTTCAGAAAACTTACTTTTCACGTTTCCCTAGACTCAGCAAAAGCCATATGGCTTTACAAAGGTGTTCCAAAGCAAATCCATGGATCAGTGGGGGGGGGGCACTTGTTGCAGTGATCCTCCCCAACAGTCATCAGTCCCCCTTAGAATGCCAGAAAAAGGCTGTAACGTTCTGTTCAAGTAGAAGGAGCCCAAAGTGGAGCTTTGAGACTAAGCTTGAAAGCTAAGCCGGGTCACTACTCGGAAGGGAGACCTCGAAAGAAGGCTCTGCAGAGGAAGGCCATGGCAAACCACCTCTGCTTCTCACTTGCCCCTTCCTGGGGTTGCTATAAGTCGTCTGTGACTTGATGGCACTTTAGTGGAGACTTCTACCGCCTCCTCCCTTCTTTGTACAGCACACCACTTGCCTCAATCCATTGTTTAACGATCCCTTGTAGTATTTATATGTTACGTACAGAAGTGGCTGAGACAAACTCGGGGAACCACTCCCCTGTACAACAAAGGCTCTGAGCTTTGGGGGCAAACAGCCTTGGTTACATTCCGAGGAGCTGCTGCCAAAAAAGAAAAAGAGGGCACTCAGGGATTCTCCTGCCACACCTGCTCAACTTGGAAAAATGGTGTGGGAGGGAAGGCTGAAGCCCTTCCTCTTGAACCAAATCTGGCACTTGGGAATGTTAGTTCCCAGACAGCGCATATGATCGCAAGTTGGGTCGAGGGAACCCCAACCTTATTTATGTCAAATGTATTATCTAGTTTTGCTGTTAGTCCTCAGGATTATGAAGGCTGAGAGACCCACAAACCTGTGAGGGTCCAGTTTTCCCAGCCTTCCCGGATCCTTGAATAGGGAGCTATGAAACTGCTTTTGCTTGCTGCGGAACATAGCTGGAAGTAAAAGGGCAGGAGGCCAGGAGGGAGGCAAACAGTATTTTTGTATTCAGAATAGCTAACAAGCACTACATTTGTGCTCATCCTTGGGCAATCTTTACCAGGTCCATTTATGGATCATCTCGAGGGCTGGTTGTGGGTGAGAACTGTACTTTAGACACATGCCTTATTTGTTTCTGTATTCCGTATTATTTGATGTAGCTATATACATCGGTGTTCCTATATCATGTGTCTTATTTCATTCTGGTTTTGTAGTGTATTAGGCATAGTGGCTTACCATAACATTTTCCATTCCTGTCAGTAATGTTGTGGAGTTGGTAGCTTCCTCTTGACACTTGTTTGCCCACTGGGCGATAAGACCCCTTGTTAGCAGAGGTCTTCTGGCCGAGGACCTAAGTAATGCAAACTGAGTTGATAACCTCCTGCAGAAGCAGGACATTCAGACAAGCGATCTACAGTGCAGCCTTAAGAACACTTTCCTGGGAGTAAGGGCAATCGGGTAAACCCGTGTAGATTGTTCTCCTAAATGCCTAAATAAAAGAACACAGCTCATTGATTGGCTGAGACACTTTGAAAGCCTGGTCCCTTTTTAATGATACTGAATATTAAGGTAAATGATTAGCCTAGCTTTCAAAAAGTTCAGTGTGTGTCACTTTCACCGCATTTCATTCAGAAGAGAAGTTTCTTGGGAAAGATCTGGTGATCCGCTTTCTGGCTGGGCCTCAGAGCTAGGAAATTCGTGGTGGGGTTTTGCAAAAGTTAGTTCTGAAACTGCAAAGTAAAAAAAATCCAGAAACCAAACCAAACCAAACCCCTCTACAAAAAGCAGCTAAGATGCTCGTTAAGCAATTTATTGCCTCCGTTTATTGCTGCAAAAAGAATACTGGCTCTTTTCCTTGTCAAATATATTTAAAAGCTTAAAAGGTGTGAGGGGGAGACCCACTCTCACACCAAGTCAAAAATGCAGTTCTTAGCACTGTTAAAAGAACAAAATAAAGCAGGCTCTTTCAGAATGTTTATGGTTCCCAAAGTGGACTAAGACGATCCCCAGCTGCCAAAGAACACATCCCCTGTTGTAAGCCGACAGAGACATGATGGTGTTGGGAAGTGTGGTTAAGTCACAGCCCACTTATAATAACCCCTTATGGATTAAGAGAGCTTTCAGAGGTGGTTTGCTATTGCCCACCTCTGTGTAGCGACCCTGAACTTCGTTGGTGGTCTCCCATCCAAATACTAACCAGGACCGATAGATATACCCCTCCCCCAAAACTGGTTACCATGGCCGACACTAACAAAGGTCGAAGGGCTGTCACAGCAAGGTGGTTAAGAGGGTCAACTACCAACTGGGAAAACGGTCGTTCAAATCTCGCCTCTGCCGAGAACTTGGTTAAAATAGCCTCTGGTCCCTCAGCTTCCCCCCCCCCCATCTACAATACTGACCTACTTTACAGGATTGTTGTAAAGTGTACTGAAATAATATTCAGTTCTTTCAACACATAACCGAATACATAGGCTGTGTTTGGTGCCCACAGCCTGTCTCAGACATAACACAGTCACATGGAAATTGTAATTTCTCCTCAATTCCTCAACATGTGGTGTTCAATTTGGATCGGGACCCATAGCCTATGGGGAGAAGGGGCTTCAACCTTATCCCCCTGACATAATATTTCTGACCTCCAACAATTGGGGGGGCATTTGGTGTGTCAAGGAAACCCACAGATATCCCATGGAACTCATGGATTTCCTCAAAGAGTGCCCTCCAAGGCTTCTTCAGGTTGGGAAAACGGGGCAAAGGGGAAGACTGGAACTCCCTCTCCACTCACAGCACACCCCTTGTCTGAATTTGACACTACACACACAAGTATGGGCAGGGGTTTTTTTGTAGAAAAAGCCCAGCAGGAACTCATTAGCATAATAGGTCACACCCAACAGCAGAAACTTATTAGCCTATTAGGCCACACCCCTGACAGCACAGCTCATTAGCATATTAGGCCACAACCCCATGTTACCAGAAGTGTGGTCATCCAGCCACACCCACCTTTTGCTCCTTATTCAGTTTAACTTATTTGTTGTCAAAACCCAGGGCTTTTTTTGTAGCAGGAACTCCTTTGCATGTTAGGCCACACACCCCTAATGTAGCCAATCCTAATGAGTTTCTGCTGTTGGGTGTGGCCTATTATGCTAATGAGTTCCTGCTGGTTGTGGCCAACTCAGGAGCCAGCCGGAACTCCGTTCCTGTGCGTTCCTGCCCCAAAATAGCCCTGAGTATGGGGAACCTGCAACTGATGTGTGACTGTGTTCCATCTGACACAGGGTAGGGACACCAGACCTAACCTAGTTATTAGTTACTTCATAAGTCTATTTTACATCCGAAGGGATGAAATGAAAATCCCCATTCTGTTTCTAAAAATCCAGAATTCAGTCAGTAATCTCTCAACATCAAATACTTTTCAAGTTTCGTTTTTCAAAATTTTGACTTTGAGGCACATTGTTTTTAAAAGAACACCCATGAATCCTGTTCGTTCATTTTGAAGGCAATAACATGAAGCTATTCACTGGCTAAGCGCCACTGTTTATTTTAAAAAATCCCAGATCCAACAGCATCCACAACGGGGAGTACAAACACCATCCAATCAGGAAAATAAATCTTCTGATTTGTACAACCAGATTGGTATCTTTCCCACCCCCCACACATCTATTTCATCCGCAAATGGCATATTAGTTTTGCATGGAAGGGATATCTAAATGGCTTGTAAGGTCAGCCTCCTTCCGAGGCAAGCTAGCCAGGTCAAAGCATCCCTCACAGATCTTCCCCCACCTTCCCCATGACATCCAGCAGGGCAAGATGTCCTCTGCTAAACCACCAATCACAATGAGCCTCCAAGGCATGAAACAAATCTGAGGCGACCTGAACACTATAGAACGGGAGTCTTCTATTCGAACCTCATCTCAGCCACAAAAATGCAGGAGAACGCCTCAGCCAAGCCGCTGTTCTCAGCCTCCCTTTCCTTTGTGATCTGAGGCTAATCAGGCTGACTAACCTACCTCTCAAGGGTGTTGCAAAGATTAATGAGACAATACATACCAAGCGCCTCAAACAATGAAACAAAATAATCGCTACAGGAAAAAAGTATGACTAAGTGTTATCTCTCTCAACCACTTTGTCCCCGGCCAGGATTGCAGCATTTTGGAAACCGGCCAAAGGCATGTCCCCACGGGGGAAGCCCTGTGTGCTTGGTTCTCTGGGGCAATCTGCAGGACAGACCAAACAGAGGAACCCCACCATATTCATCCGAGTATTTCCCGCGATTGGCAGGGAGAGGAGAAATGGACATCTGCCACTTACCTCCAGAAGGCAGAGCAGGGCGAGACTCTCGGGCACCACAGCAGGAGAGAATCAGCACACTTGTCACCACCCAACAGCGCTCTGGTTGGCGCGCGGCCGTGCAAAGGTTGCCTGCCTGTCAAAGTTTGTTCAGTTAATCAAGCCCCCACCTCCTCCCTCCCCACCCGTCACTGCAACTGGAATCCTCTCCTTCCTTCCCCCTTCCTGGCCACAGAGAGCACACCCCCTCTTGGCATATCCTGCCCACAGGTTTGTTTACTGGCCGGGTCCGAGCCAAGCAACTGCTTTAGCGGAGCGCATCAAGTCGCCACAGTTTGACACGGAAGAAATTAAACAACAGTTTCCTTGATGGGTCCACAAAGAGGATCAAGGACACGGTGTTTACGTTGGCTTCTCTTGTTTCAAACTGCTGCAGGTGAAGGAGCACCTGTGGAAGAGGGAAAGGGAGGCCCTAGTACCCAGCAAGGTCACCCTCCTGGCTGTGCCAGTGTGTGCCACTCACCTGAAGACATCTGTTCTGTTCCGGCCTGCCTCCTCCACAGTCTATTCATGGCACAATGGTTATTCTTGGAGACATGCGGAAAAAGCATGTCAAGGGTACTGAAAACGGGTGTACAAAACAATTTATATAATCTATCTGGGGACAACCAGGATTTCTCTGACACCACCAGCTTGCATGGCACAGCAACAGAAGCCAAAACAAGGTCACAGTATCCACAACTACTGACATATCAGATTTATCCTTCTTTAGTAGCACTGGTTTCACCCAAAGGATCCTGGGAACTATCGTTTGCCAAAGATCTGAGGATTAACTGTTAGATGTCTGTCTTGGAGCAGAGGCCCATGTCTATTTAATCTCAGTCTCCCTGCTTCCCTTAGGACCAGGGCAGGGGTTTGGCCTCTTCCATCTTTGGTCCTTGTTCATCTCTATATCCCCAGCAGAGGGAGGGAGTCTGGGGGGGAACAACTAGCCAGCTGCAGAACATCTGGCTGAGCATCTGCCTTCTTCCTGTCTGCCAGCATAAAAGTATGGGCGTGGTCAAAGGCCCCAGCCAAAGGACCATATTGGCCTTTGGACCGCGCAGCCTGAGCTCTACGATAGTCAGTCCAGTGAACGAGGGCCAGCCCAAGATGTGTTTGCTTGTTTTGTTTGTTTAAATTCTATTGTTTAATTTGGTTTGCCTGGGAAATTTCTGTAAGATGCTTTAGGTCCCTCTGGGCAGAAAAGCAGCACAGAAATGCCAAAATAAATAAACCGTGTTTGCTTCACATTGGGATGCACAGTGGAAATACTGAGCTGGTCTGCATCCAATTGTATTCAGGATTTGCAGCTTTCTGCCTCCAGAGGAAGAATAATTAATGAATAATTATCACATGGCATTGTGTGCAGAATAGCCAGAAGATCCTAGGATTGTCTGGCAATCGAAAGTTCTAGCATTATGCACCAGTAGGTGGCGAGCTAGACTTGCTTTTAAGGCAAGAGATGTTTCAGAGGTGATTTGCCATTGCCTGCCTCTGCGTCACAACCCTGGTATTCCTTGGAGGTCGCCCTTCCAAATACTAGCCAAGGCCGACCCTGCTCAGCTTCTGAGATACGACAGGATCAGGCTAGCCTGGGATATCCAGCTCAGGTCCAGGGGGAGAGTCCTGCTGGGACCATCCAAACCTGGCTCCTGGTGAGAGAGCCAGGGTGATGTAGCAGTCAGAAAGTTGGGCCGGGACTAGCTGAGTGGGGTCAAATTCCCTCTCAGCGTGAACTTGGGCCAGTCATGCACACTCAGACTAACTGGCCACACAGCATTGTTGTGAGGATACAGTGGAGGTGGAGAGGAGGAAAAGAGAGATTGGTTGCGACCCATGAATAGGGTAGCCAGGTCTGGCTTGGAAAATACCTGGAGACTTTGGGGGCGGATCCAGGAGAAGGCGGGGTTTGGGGAGGGGAGTGGCCTTAGCATGGTACAATGCCACAGAGTCCACCCTTCGAACCAGCCATTTGCTCCTGGGGAGCTGATCTCTGTCAGCTGGAGATCAGTTGTAAAAGTGGGGGATCTCCAGGTACCACCTGGAGGCTGGCAACTCTACCCATGAACCACCAGCTGGTGCCTACAAGAATCTCTCCCTCCCTCCCTCCCTCTCTCCCTCCCTCCCTCTCTCTCTTAAATAGTCTGACCAATTTGTAGGGATGCCAGCTTCAAAGTGGGACCTGTGGATCCCTGGTATTGCGCAGCTCATCTCCAGTCTACCCCTCTGAGGTCCTTGTCCTCCCCAGGCTCCACCCCCAAATATCTCAGAGTTTCCCAACTTGTACCTGGCAACCGTAACCACCCACATCCCCTGTCAGTGGCCAAGAGGGCCGGCTGGCAGCCCTATTTGTGCAAGAAAACGTGCAAAGACAGCAGACCAAATGCTAGAGTTGGTCACTCTTACGCCCTGTTTAGGGGCTTCTTAGAAGCATCTGGCTGGATATTGTGTGTGGGTAATAAGATGCTGGACTGGGTGTACCTTTGGTACCATTCAGCAGGGGTCTTCTTATGTTCCAACACTATCGGGATACGTAGACCCGTGGTCTGAATCAATGTGATATCCTTTCTTGTAGCCAGGGCTCTTTTTGTAGAAAAAGCCCAGCAGGAACTCATTAGCATAATAGGCCACACACAACAGCAGAAACTCATTAGCATATTAGGCCACACCCCTGACGGCGCAGCTCATTGGCATATTAGGCCACACCCCCATGTTACCAGAAGTGTGGTTATCCAGCCACACCCACCTTTTGCTTGTTATTCTGTTTACCTTGCTTGTTGTCAAAACCCAGGGCTTTTTTGCAGCAGGAACTCCTTTGCATGTTAGGCCACACACCCCTAATGTAGCCAAGCCTAATGAGTTTCTGCTGTTGGGTGTGGCCTATTATGCTAATGAGTTCCTGCTGGGCGTGGCCAACTTGGGAGCCAGCCGGAACGCCGTTCCTGCCCAAAAATAGCCCTGCTTGTACCCACTGGAGACCATTATCTTCTCTCTGCATGCCAAGACACTAGCCCTTATTGTGCATGTGTCTTCTGGCAACCATGGTCCAGCTTCTTCACTAATTTATATACAACACAGCAACGTTTCCCGTAATAACCAATGTAGGAAATAACAGCCACAGCACAAAAAAAGTTCTCTTCAGCGCAGAGGTCTTAGGGGCAGTTCATACAAGCCAGAAGGACCACCAGAATGGTTGTGGGATATCTCCAGGTAGGGCTCAGTTTGTATGAACATGCCTTCTGGTGGTGTAAGATGCCATTGAATTTCAGCCACCTTATGATAATCCTGAAGGGGACTCAAGGCAAGAGGCATTTAGAGGTGTGTTGTCGAAGGCTTTCACGGCCAGAGTTCATTAGTTGTTGTAGATTTCCCGGGCTGTATGGCCGTGGTCTTGGCATTGTAGTTCCAATTAGAGGAGATTTGAAATTACCTGCCTCTGTGCAACAACCCTGGTCTTCACTGGTGGTTTCCTATCCAAGTGGTCTCCCAAGAAGGGCTGATCCTCCTTAGCAGCCTTCTACCAAGTTAGATCACTGGTCCATCTATCCCAGCACTGCCTTCTCCAGGATGGCAGCAATTCTCCAGTATCAGGCAAAGGAAGGGCGTTCCCAGTGCCTGTTGAAGATGCCAGAGACTGAACCTAGGACCGTCTGTTGCAAAATAGATGCTCAACCACTGGTATTTCCAGCCTTTATGCATTATTACACTATCCCTGTTGCTAGAAGGGTGGATCAGTGTGTGTGGGAGGACAATGCTGAATTGAACATGTGGCCTTTACACCACCTCAAAAAAGCAGGCAGACTCAGGATTTGGGAAAACGAAACCCCAAGGGACAAGTTCTTCTAAATCTTACATTCTTGTTCAGCCTTTAAGACCAAGACGACCTATCTGTGTTCCCCGTATTCTTGGTCAGACAGAGTACGAATGCAGAACAGAGTACAAACCTGCAAGAGCATGATAAATTGACCTTCAAGACTGTGATGGCCTAAGAGGACATCACAGGACTCGTTCAAGGTGTCTTCATTCATCACTCATTAGCTGATAGAGGCAGAATTCCACTTCTGGCTTCAAAGCAGCAGAGGCCCCATTAATTAATCCCTTAATTAACCATAAATCAAAGGGAAAACTGAAAAGACAGTTGCTTGCTGCAGCACCATTTTTAGGGGCATGAGCAATTTTCCAGATGCTTTTGTAGGCAAAACCCACTACCCGCTACTCTTCAAGCTCACTTTCTCATATATATATATCCCCAATGTAGCATAAACATTCCAGTTGCTAGTTAAAATCTCACTTCCCCACTGTCAAAAGTTTGGTTTTACGGCTGAAAAGGGTGTAGAACATCCTAGTCCAACTTCCTATTTTATGGGTGGCTTGACTTGCTCTATGCTAGCTGCAGAAGTACAAGGCACATTCCAAAAGCTGGCCTTAGATACAAAACTTCCCATTTCAGAATGTTATAGTAACCAAACACTGCTTCTACACATGGATTCCTCCCCCCCCAAACTGCAGGGGAAGCCCCCATAGTAAGAGTAGGGTTGCCAAGTGAGGAAATCGCCGCAGCAAGGGACTCCCGGCTTGCGGCTTGACCATAGGGTTTTCTCTTGGATGGTCGCATGCTTGGCGGCGTCACGTCACTTCCTGGTGACGTGCACGTGGGGGTGGGGTTCCCCCGGGGCCCGATCCGGGCCTCTGGGGCGGGGGTTTCCTCGCCCCCCCGGGGGGACTTGGCAAGCCTAAAGAGAAGCATCCAGACAGCATTGTGCCCGATCTGTATACATCTGTCTCTTCCCCTCACCCCATCCCTATGGAGAAAATATCAACCAAACTTTATCTAAAGTAGACAGGAACATTCAGGGGTGCATCCATCTAGAGACAGAAATGGGGCTAACCTTTGCCTTTCCAGACCTTTATGGGCCTTTTTTCATTTCTTTACCAAGTTGCACTGTAGCAATACAATTTGGATGGGGAAAACGAAGGGAGGAAAAACTTGAAAGAGCTTGAAGGGGGGAGGGGGAGAGCCATGGGGTGAGGGCTGAACATTGTGCAGGCGTAGGGTTTCCAGCTCCAGCATGGGAAATACAT